GCAGATCTCATTCAACAACTCGCTGCGCCGCCGCTCCCGCACCACGCTGCACAATCATTTGCTGCGCTCGCGTGCCGTGGGGAACACCGCCGGCCTGGGTCCGATTGAGACAGCAACGGCTGCTCCAGCAGCCGCCAGCAGCACAGCAGCTGCCCGGCCCAGAGATAGCCAAGTGCTGCCGTCCATACATCGATCCTCGTCGACGGTGTCGCTGTCCAGCGAGCGCCAGCTGCTGGATCAGCGCTTGAGGCATTTGCATCATCGTGGCTCCTTGTACTGAGGAGCAAAATGCAAATGCGAAGCGCTCAAAATTCAATTACTTAACTCTTAGTCTTAAGCGACAACAACAAACAAACAAAACTGATCTATAAACTAATAAAGTGTTTAGAAAAATGTAGCCTAAAATGTGAACGATTTCGAGTCACTTAATTCAAAACAAATAAATGTTCAGAGTCTCCAAATGCTCGAAAGCTGAGAGGGAAAGCAGAAGTTTGAGATATATGCAAAGCTATTAAATCTTTATAAAAGGGGCCGAGAATTCAATTTCGGTTTTGCCTTTTGCTCAAGCTTATTTGATGGAATTGGCCTCTAGCTAAACAATTTCGTATGGCAACGCATTCAGGGAAGAAGCCTTCAAACAGTCCGTTTGTCATGGCAACGTGTTTCGTTGTTTATGAACGCCGGCGGCTCTGCTGACTTCTCGCAGTTGTAACCCATCAAGGATGAGCGGCACAACGCGCAGCGGCCTGGTGCCTACGCCCAAGCGGCAGATCAAATTTGTCAAAAAGGTAAAGGAAACCCCATTTAGTTCGTAGACGTTCAAGCTAATCCGCGTGGGCGCTCACAGCGCAAAAGTTACCATGCAGATTCGCGCATGCCGTTGAAATTTGAGGCGCAGCCGATGCCTCTTTCGCTGCGTCCCTTTGGCGGGCTATTCAATCCCTTTGCCAAAGGCTGTTCGGTGCTGTGCAATCATCCAGCGCCGCCGGCCGTGAAGGATGTCATCAACCAGCTGAAAACATCGCTGGCCGTTGAGGGCAAGGGTCAACTGAAAGCGGCCAAGGAGAAGCCGCTGGAGGAGCAGCTGCAGCCGCACGAGGCGGACAACATACCGGAGGATCTGTTTCGACGCTATGCGGAAACCGATTCCAGGCCCATGACGCCCACGCCAACTGTGACCAGCATCCATACGCGCACCAGTGCGGGTTCCTTCTATCGGCGCTGCATTACGCCGGAATGGGGCAAGCATGAGAACATTCAGCGTAAGAAGATTATATTGGATCTGCGGCGAACGCATTCGCAGGAGACGCTCTACTGGAAGCCCAGCTCGGAGCTGACCCAAAGCGGCATCGAGGAGGGTAAGAAACCAAAGAGTGCGGGCGCCAACGAGGATAAGAAGGCGCGGCGACAACAGTCCAATGAGCAACGACCCAAATCCTCGCTGGCCACAGCCACTCTGGCGCCTGGCGAGGAACAACACGCTGAAGTGGAGCCAAAGCCGCACAAGACTTGCATCAACGAGCACGACATAAGCGATGAGGATGCCCGACGAGGCAAAAAGCGGAAGAAGCTGAAGCCCACGCAGGGTGCGTAAGGGAAATATTCATGGGAATATACGTAAGTAACATTTCAATCCCCCTAGCCACCACCACATTTCATCTGAGCGAGGATCCGGAGACTCAGGTGGGCACCCTGGGACCCGATTCCCTGAATGCCAGCACCAGACCCAGCCTGATACCCAACTCAGCAGGTCTGCTGGTCAAGGATAAACACGAGCTTGACCGGGAACCCATTTTGCTCAAAGGCAGTTTCCTAACCGACGAGGCCTTTCAGGCGCTCAAGACGGATCTTACAGTGGATTTAATAGAGAACACCTTTGGCAGATATGTGAGTATAATCAGGGTATATGAAATTCTTTTATATATGCAAATTTCTACAGCTCAACCGAGCGCTGCGAGAGGCCATCAAGTACTTACCCAAGGCAGTGCACAAGCCGGCAGAGGAAGTGGACAAGACAGCTGTTAATGCGAGCTCCAAAATGCCACGCAAGTTCTCCAAATCCGCGACGCGTTTCGATGTGCCCATGGATCTGTCCATGCTCAAGAGTTTGTATTCGATTCAAGTTTGTAAAAGCTTCTTCCGGCAACTTCTCCGTTGTTTTTAGCCATGACACCTTTGCATTACCTCAGCAATTATGTGTGGGTTTCGCAGCAGCGCAAACAGCTGTACAAACGTGTCTTTCTCAAGTATCTCAGCCGTTGCGAGGAGCCGGAAACGGAGCTAGCATTGAGCAATGATGAGGCGCCTCTTATTGAGTACAAGGAGCGCATAATGGTATGGCGCAGTCTGCCGCAGGCTTTGGAGGATGTTTTAGAGTTTCATGGCACTGAGAAGAATGTGAAAAATACACTTAAGCATTTGGGCTACCAGCCGGATGGCGTTGGAAATTTGGATTTTCGCGCCTGGTGCGGAATTGTCTCATTTGCCGAGCGATTGGCTTTGTCGAATCCCGCGTGCAGCGACGATGACTCCTGCGATGAGCTGGAGAAGGCTGACTTTAATAGCATGGAGCAGATTGTTGATCAGTTTGAAGTGCCCAAAAAACTACGCGAAATATTCAAAATTATACGCATAACACACAAATTAAAGTATTAAACACGTTTAAATAGTTCGCACAAGCACACGAGATTTTAACACTGAAATTTTCGATAGGTTTCTAAATATTTGCCATTCAACAAAAACGTCGACAAAAACAGCTGTTGCTGCAAAGGTATCGATACTTTTGTAGACCTCTTTGCGAGTTTGCTTGCAGTTGCTTAATTTTCTATAATTAAATTAAAAAAGAAAAAATTCAACATCATGGCCACATTAGAGGATAAATTACTGGGTGAAAAACTGGAGTACTACTGCAGCAGCAGCGAGGGCGAGGACAATGGAGACGATGGCGACGACGAGCAAGGTGCTCGTGGCTCTGGCAGAGGAGCTGCAGCTGGCTCCGGACTGACAATCAACACAGATCCTGATGCAGCGCCCCCGGGTGGTTTTCGCCAGCAAGGCTCAACCAATACAGGTCCCAAGGGCGTTGTGCAGGACTGGCAGCGTTTCAAACAACTCGAAGCAGAGCGGCGCGAAGAAACGGAACGCCAACGCTTGGCGCTGGCCAAAAAGCTTAGCATGACGACTGCCACAGCCGCCGAGGATGAGGAGCGCAAGCGGCAAGAGGAACTGGATGCTGAGTTTGCGGAATTGATGAGCGAGGATTTTCTGCAGCAATATCAAAAGCAGCGTATGGCCGAAATGCTGCGCCAAACAGGGCATCATCAGCAATTCGGCAAGGTGCTCCAGCTGGCCACGCACGAGGAATTTCTGTCTTGCGTGGAACAGGAAAACAAGCACACAACCATCATTATACACATTTATGAGCGCACCCAATCAGCCTGCAGCACGCTCAACAACTGCCTGGACACGCTGGCCAGCGAGTATCCGTCCATTAAGTTTGCCAAGATCTGCAGCTCTGTGGCGGGCATGAGCCGGGACTTTCGCACCAAAGGATTGCCCGCCCTATTGGTATACAAGGCGCAGGCGCTAATTGGCAACTTTGTGCGTTTAACTGACGATTTGAGCGACGACTTCTTCGCCTCCGATGTGGAAAGCTTTCTCATCGAGCACGGCATTATAGTAGATAAAGCCTTGTACAACTAAAATCTGAGATCGTGAATTATATACTTAGATTAAGCTAGAGAGAGCTGACCAAATGATGTGTTCGAAAGTTTCGCATTTAAGCTAATCGCACTTAAATTTTAAGCTAAGTTTGTTTGAATTTAGTTATTTATTTTTCGCATTCAATAATTTGTTGTGTTACATTATATGTTTGATTCTTGAAATCTTGTATACAATTTATATGTAACTTTTTTTTTTATTTTTTTGTTTTGTAAATGAAAATAGAAAAAGAATGTCAATTTATTATGCTTTATATTTATATATACAAAAGAAGCCAATTTAAAAATATATCTGAAAAATATATTCGAAATGCAATCGCAGCAGAATTAAAAATTATGAATGTACTTTATCCATATATGGAAATAGAACCGTCTTGCTTTATGCGGCAAATTCCAACTTTGATTCTCATCAGCAATCATATACAATAAACATAAGATTTCTAATATTTAAGGGCTAATGAATGTACTTCACTCGAAATCGTACTATGTAAGATTTATACATATACAATACACAATATATATATATTTATATAGCTTATAGCCTAACATGAACGGGCAATATAAAAATGATGTTGATAATAAAAGTTTTGGTAATCAACAAATTGGTGTTGCTTGTTTTCACTTCACTTTTTTTTGTTTTTTGTTTTTATAGATTGGCATCATACTATGTATGAAATGGCCAATTTAGAATATTTGTTTAAGGTTTAACTAAGCCTAGTTACATATATGTAAGTATAAATTCAAGTTGTTTTTGTTTTGTTTTCTGTTTTCGAACAAACACAATTTTTTGTAGCACAGCGAGTGAATTCTAACATTGTTGGATTTTTCGCACAATAACGCGAAAAATCAGCAAGTTATTAGTTGGCTAAGGCTTAAGGAGGAGCAGCGTAAAGTTTGGGCATTGCGAATAGGTTGTGCGGGGCAGTGAACGAGTTTGGAGCATACATTATGCAGATGTGATAATGGCATACTGTTCAGTTGGGATTGCTTTAGTCGGTTGGCTTAAACTGGGCTAATTCTTAAAGTATGTGAATGGTTTTGTATTAAATGAAGTCGAAATTGTTTTCACTTCTGCGCACCTTTACCGTGGATTGTTTTGGCTCGCCTCGATCGTATTGCCCGAGCTGTGCTAGCCTAGTTTAGGTTTTTTTTTGTTTAGATAAATATAACATATATATCTTTTGGACACACAGACATTAGCTATAAATATTTTACAACTTTCTTTTAAATATCTATTAATTAAATGCTACGTAATTGTATATACATGGGTTTTTATAAGTTTTTGTGTATTTATAATATGCATATTTCATCTTGCTCTTTTATTTTTTGTTAAATTTTCGACCTGATTTTTGTACTATTACGTATATATTAATATTGAGTTTGAGTTGCGTATCTTACAATATTGAACTCTTGATTTTGATTGTAGGATGAGTCTTTGCTTGAAAAAAAACGGGCTTGAAATCTTGGATATCTGTAATAATGTATGTACAAAAATGAAATTTGTTTAGGTTTCTTCTATGTGTGTCGTTGCTTTTGATATTTCTGTTAATGCTCAGTTCATAGGTTTCACAAAAGAAATGCACCTAGCTTATGATTTCTATTGACAATGTTCCCGAGTGTTTTGAATTCTGTTCTTTCCCTTTTAAACTAACCGTAGAGATTCTTGAATTGAATTTAAACATATATATTCGAATGGATACAACAAAAGAATGCATTCAATTTCATTTCGTACAGCTTTTGCTGCCTGCTGTTTGTTCTGTCTCAAATAAAATTTGGCAATTTGTTGCAATATCCGTTAATTTGTATCGTTATAAACTAAAGAAAATCAGCCTTTTCTTGCTATACACATAAATACAAAACATATATATATATATATATACTATATAGATGTGTGTGTTTTGTAATAAAACTCCATTTAAAATTGAATTATACGCTAGTCAAATATTGAATTAATTAACTTGGTTTTTCATATGTTGCTTGAGCCTGCGTTGCTTGCCTCCAACTTGGCCTCCGGCTGGTCCCGCTACTGTTACAGCCGCGGCGGCTTGAAGCTCAACGTTGTGCTGCACTCCACGCTCAGCTGATGCTCCATGGTGTCCATTTTGTCATAGTCAAGGCTGCCGCAGTCCGCGATGGAGTTGCGCACCGATGGCGGCTGCTCCGCGCCGGGCAACAGACCCACCAGCAACAGCGGCTTGTTCAGCGACGCTGCTCCAGCAGCAACAGTTGCTGCCGTTGTTGCGCCGCCCGTCAACTGCTCGTTGCTGATGCTGTTGCTGCTGTTGCTTTGGCTGCCGCCGATTTGCTTCTCCTTGTGGCGTCGCAGCGAGGAACGCAATGGATACTGGCGTGGCACATTGATGAGCAGGCGGCGGGCGTTGCTGCTGGGATTGCTGCTGCTGTTGGTATTGCTGATGATGTTGTTGGGTCGACGCGCTGTGTACTGTATGGACTCGGCGCTGTTACTCAAACGGATGTTGCCAACTAATTTCGTGTGGATTTTATATACACAGGTTACGTATTGCATATGTATGTATATACATCGGATGGCCGGGAGCGAAAGAAGAGAAACGAAAAACAAAAATTTGTTCATCAATTAAACAGGGCTTCAAAAAGGACTCGGCTTGCAAAGATTATTTTGTTGTTGTCATTTATGGTTTTAGTTGGATGGATGGTTGTTGGACTCAGCTAATCGTGGCTGTGGTTGTTGTAGTTGTTGCTGCTGCGGTGGGCGTGTTGCGTTTTGTTGCTAACAGACACAAACTACTCAAAAATAAACGTGAACAACAATAACAAGCAGATTACACATAAAACACAGTGGGTTTTCTTTTGGATAAGTTAGTACACAACAATATAGACAACAATTACAGGAAATACATTAAAATGTTTGCATGTGTGAATCTGTGATGCGTGTGTGTGAGTTGTGTATGTGTGTGTGTGTGTGTGTGTGTGTTTACATAATTTTCTAAATGTCCTATACATAAAATAAACAAACAAAAGCTTAACATTTCTTTTAGCACAAATTTAATAAATATATGTAAATATTTGTCTTGAATACAAACAGAATTCAAATTGTTTAAACATAAAAAGCAATAAAATAAATACGAAATAAATGTTTCGCTTTCCACATGCACGCACATACATACATAATTATATTGATAAGATAAGTATACATGAATAACATTAGAATTATAAATAAATATTTACGGTACAAATATTTGGATAACAAAAAGTTATTTTCTATTAAAATATATCTAACTGACGAGTTTCGTGATCGGAAAAACTCTTTTATGCATGCAAATGATATATTTCGATTCGACTTCACTCTGAATATATATATAATATATATATAGTTGAAGTTAAGAGAACCACAGTTATATACTCGGAATAATCATATTTCGGATTTGGAGTATTGCCAAGAAAGTCGAAGTCAACAAATTTCAAAAACTCAAAGATTGTTGATAACTTTTCCATAAATCGCTTGAGTTAACGGAAAATATATACTTGTCTATTCCAAGCACTATCATATCTGAAAAAACTGCTAATTGTTTGACATATTTCCATATTGGTTCGTTCATCAAATGAATCTACAATTTTAGATATGTTGCATGATGTACACAAATACACAAATGTTACAAAATCAAATAGTTAATAACATTCATGTTGAGATGCTTAGACAAAATCGATTTCGAAAAAACAGTTCAGAGAACTATTTGCAATGCATGTTAAACACAAGTATGTGAATGTTTATTGCAATGTTGAAAGATATCTCAACATGTGAGCAAATGTCGGTTTTAGATGGACATGGCTACAAAACACAGGACATTCCACTTGCAAACTGTTTTAGTCAATGGATGATTTTACAAATGATAACATAAAAAACAACTGTTTTAAAACAGGAAATCCAAAACATTAAATATGACTGTGACCAGGTTGTTGTTGTTGTTGCTGCTGCTGTTGCTGTTGCTGCTGATGTTGCTGCTGCGATGGATGATGCTGTTGCTGCGCTGTGTCTCGAACGACTGGTACAGCGATAAGGCGGACGCATTGCTGGCCAGGCGCAGATGTCGCTGCTGCTGTCGATGCAACATAAGCGGCGTGGAATGGCGCAACAGCAGCGACGCTGGCTGCACATGCTGCTGCAGCTCGTGTGCCTGCAACGTGTGCAGCACGCGTCCATCCAGCGAATCGCAGTCGCTGTCAGAATCAGTTATATGGCTGGCAACAGCAACACCAACAGCAGCAGCAGCAGCAGCAGCAGCAGCAGAGGAAGCAGCTGCAGCAACAGGTAGATTCTGTGTAGAGTAGTAACAAGAATTGTCGAGTGTTTCGTGTAGATAAAAGCTTTGAGCATGCTGCAAGTGTTGCCGCTGCAACATGTTGCTGCTGTGTCTGCTGCTGTTGTTGCGAATGTTGTTAGACTGCTTTAGCTTGCCAGCTGGTGCGTTCGTGATTTGGTGGTGATTGTTGGTTAGTGTGGCTTCCGTTTTATAACTACCCGAATTGGCGTCCAGCAGCAGGCGGCGCTGTTGCTGTTGCTGCGGCGGCCGCAGCAGACCCTTGGAATGTATGTGTTGCTGTTGTTGCTGTGGTTGTTGCTGCTGTTGTTGCTGCTGCTGCTGATGACGACCGTAGCTGTAGCTATCCTCGGTGTCCATCATGTCGTCCAGCTGCGGCTGCTGTTCCCGTTCACGCTGCTGCCTGCGATAGAAGTGATAGAGCAGCGCCGCCTGGCTGCGCTCCGCATCGATGTCAGCCGCTCCACCGACGCCGGCAACAGTCTGGCGCATGTCGCGTGTGCTGCCGCCGCCCAGGTAACCAGCAGCAGCGGCGGCTGCCACCGCCAGGCAGCAGTTGCTGCATGTATCCGCCGGCAGCTGCAGCGAGACGACCGCATCCCGAGGCCCCAAGAACCACTCGGAGCGGGTGCGCATGCGTGCGGTTTGCCGTTCATGAACCTAACACATTGTGTTTGTGATTTATATTTTTGGATTTTTGCATTGAGATTTTTGTGTTGTTTTTTGTTGTTTTCATGTGTCGTTGTTGTGATGTGTTGGTTTTTTTTTGGGGGGAAGACGGGGATTCAAAAATTTCGCATTAGAGTTTTGGCATTAAGAATATTTGGTTTTGTTCATAATTAAAAAGAATTTGTTCTTTTCAAATTTAGCTAGGCTCAATTTTTAAATTTGTTTTGCTTAAAATTTAAAAAATTTTCAAGACATTTGTAGATTTAGCTTAAAAGAAAAATTAAAAATGATAAAATACAAACGGAAATTTTAATAAATAAAAAAAAGTTGTTAACATTTAAAATTATAAATATTATATTATTTACATATATGTTTTATAGCACAGCGCAGCAGGAAAAAAGTGCGGTAAAAAATTATACAAAAACAAAAAGGTATTCACTGTGAATGGAATTAGTTTAAAAAAATCGATATTTGCAATGCTTTAGTTCTTTTAACCCCGTCCGTGAATACCTCCGTTTTATTATAAACAAAATAAAATGTAAGCAAAATTGCAGCTAATAACAATTTGGCATAAATAAAGCGTTTGATAATTGTTTAGCACACTTTATGAAACATTTAAAAATTGTGAAACAATGAAGGAATTTGCAAATGCAGTTGCGGCGCTTTCTGGTGTGTGTATGTATGTGTGTGTGTGGCTTAAACTAAAAGTTAAGTTGTTGTGTTAATTCTGTGGCTAACTACTAAATAAAAAAGACATAAAACAAGACAAGGAAACAAGAGACAGGAGACAAGATACGAGCACAAGCAACAAACAAAGAGTTCGGTTAATTGAGGCTACGACAAGACGACAACAAACAAAACTACAAATTAACAATTAACAATGCAAATTTAACAATTGCGCGGCTTAAACATAACTTAAGCTATTAACTAAATAACTAAAACAAAATCATTTGTGCTCTGTTGTTTTTTTTTTTTTTTGGTGTTTTGTATTTTAGTTTGCTTTGGTTTTCAAAAGATAAATAATATTATTATTGATAAGATATTAACTATAGATATATGTGCGAACTGTTTTTCAATTGTTTGCTTTTAATGTGTCTGGACTTAAATCTTGATACGACAACGATATGTCCTATAAATATATATGCACATATATATATTTTCTAAATGTATTTTCTTTTGTGTATTATCAAATTTATATAAATTATATACGCAATCTGTTATTCCTTAGAATACACGTGTTTTTTATTGTAGCAAAAAATATATAGCCTTAAATCAATTTAACAAAATTTGTGTAAAATTCTGTTCTTTTTTGCATATTATGTTTTTGATGAAATTAAGTTTTTGTTAAGATTACATATTTATATTAAAAAAAAAAACACAAAAAATAAGCAAAATTATAATTGATAAATATAATTACAAACAAATAATGAACAAAACAAAATTGTTATTGTTGTTGTTGTGTCTTTAACTTTTTTGTACAGTTTGTGTAGTTTTTGTACTTTTTCGAGTATTTTTCTGCGCTTTTAGTGCCAGATTTGCTTACAGCTACACTTAAATGTAAAAAGGTGTTGTATTATTTGTGTGTGTGTGCGTGTGTGTGTGTGTGTGTGTTTGGGTGTTTGTTGTGTGTCTGTAAGTAGTACTTGTTGTTGTTGTTGCAGGCGCAGCTTTAGTTAGATATATATTTATATATAAGTAGTATAGCACAAAATACAAAACTAGAGAAAGAAGGCGCAGCAAAACGTTCAAAATTTTAGAAAAATCCTTTTTTAGATTAATTAAGAATTCAAATTGCGGTCAGTAAGAAAGTGAAAGTGGGTTTATAGCGTGGCAGGAATCGGCTGTCCAAAAGTTATTTTTTTATCAAATTAAACAAATTAAACGAAAAAATTATGTAATTGAACAAAATGATAATCAATTGAAAACTAAACAAATACACAGCGTGAATATATTAGAGATTACAAAATAAGGAAATAAAAATAATAATAATAATACAAATCAAAAGTGAAAAAAATTCATCAAATCAAGAAAAATTCTTATAAACTATTAAATAATTCGCAAAAGATATTTTTGCAGTTTGCTTGCTCAAACCTGCAAAAAGAATACAGAACTTAAAATTCGAGCAAGTTGGCTAAAAGCTAGGGGAAGGTTGTTGGATTGGGATTATCTTTTTTTTTTTGTTTTTTTTGGGCGTGGTTGGCTTCCTTTTAAACGGATATTCTAGAGCCAGGCCAGAACTTATCCCTCACCTGTGGCAAATACGAGAGACTCTTGGTGCTCTCCGCATAGCGATTGACGGCGCGCAGCTCCTCCATGGTCATGCCGCCAGAGTTGGCTCCGGTGTTGCCATTGCCGCCGCCATTCGAGCCAGCGGCTCCGCCCGAATTCGAGCTGCAGGAGCTGCTGTGACGTATGCCCCGATTGCAACGGCTGCAGGTCCTCTGTTGCTGCTTCAATTTGCCGCCATTGCTGCCGGCGAGAGCTGTACTTGTTGTCGCTGTGGCCGCTCCCGTGGCAACTGTTCCCGCGGCTGTGGCATTGCTTCCGCGTCGCTCGCCGCCGCCGTCGAGGCTTTTGGTGCCGGTGCGCAGGCGTCGCTGGTGATGGCCGCTGGGCAGCGGCTTCTTTTTGTTCTGACGATAGCGACGCTTCACGGTTGTCAGTTCGTCATCCTCATCATCTTCCTCGTCCTCGTCATCCTCCTGCGAGTTGCTTGCCGCGCCCATCATGTGCTGATGTCGCTGCTTCAAACGCTGAAAGCCGCGCAGCTGCTGCTGCTGCTGCTGATGTGCTGGCGTGGCAGGCGCAATGCTGCTCAGCTCCAGCTCGGCTGCAAAGTCATGGGCCAGCTCATCGTTATCCTCATCATCGTCCACATAATCATCATAGTCATAGTCGGTGCCGTTACCATTGCCGTTGCCATTGCGCTTGGCGGGCAGCGGTGAACTGGTCATGGCAAAGATGCCGGGTCCCTCCAGCGACACAGAGAGACGGGCACAGCTCTCGATGAACGAGTGCTCTGGCGATACGCCCAGCGAGAGCACGCTGTTCTCCAGCGCCGAACTGGAGCTGGTCAGCAGTGCGGGCGTCGAGCGAGATTCCTCCTGGGCCACTGCATGCAACACGTTTCGGTTTTAAGAGTAGTTCGTACGTAGTTGGTAGGTTTTGTATGAGCAATGAAATAGATATAAATATGTAGACATAGAGCATTTTTTGTGATTCGAGCGAAAGTGCCTTAAGCAGAGTGCATAATTAGAGAGATAGACAGAGAGAGGGGGAAGCGAAAACTTGTGATTGTATGTGTGTGAATAACGTGTGTTAAGCCCCAAAGCGAAGAAACCCAAAAACATATTGCCCAAGCAATGCACTTAAGAATTAAGCACAGAACAGACCCCAAGTCGGAATAGCACAGATTATATAGATACAGATGATGATAAATATATATAGATATATAGTTAAGTAGGCATAAACAGTTCTTAAAAACAATTTAAAATGCGATTGGTACTCACGTAAGCCCCAACGCTCGCATTGGCACTGCAACCAAGTCTTTTCGGCCTCCAAAGAATGTTGCACTGCAAATAAGAAGAGATTTGATTAGACAAGCTCAAATCAAGAAAACATTACCATATACATTATCTATACTCTATAAGTGCACAGTTATGGCCCTTTTGCTATACCATGCATATCCAACTAATCGATTCTGTACAGTATACCGCTGGAAAATTCTGAAGCAACCCTTGTAACTTAAATCTGTATACCTTATTGAGATTTTAATACTAGATAGTTTGTTTTTCTGTGGTTGTGGGTGTTTTTCTGATATACTATGTCATAACTAACTGCGTCTCAGAAACAGGTCGACTGGCATAAATTCCATTTCAGTTCATATTCAAAGAATTTATAAATATATGCAATTAAATACCGCATATTCTGCATAATATGCATCGGACTACCACTTACTATATAAAATAGTTTTCTGGCTCAAAAACAAACGTACTTATTATGGGAATGTTTTCTGGAATACAGTTTTAAGCTTCAAAACATAGTTTGACGCTCGATTCATCAAGTATCTTATGTGTAGACGTACAAAAGTTCTATCAATCATTATGTTACATGTTAGCCCATCTTAATGCCTGCTCCTCGCTTAAGTTATGGGTGCAATACTCAAGTCTACATTTCTCACGCTCTAGAATACTTATCCACTCACATGCATATTTCTGTTGTGCCAATTTGCCGCGTGGCGGCGGCGGATATTGAAAACTGCAGATCCATTCGTCCTGCACCTTCAGAATGCGTCCCGTGACGCGCGCATAGTATTCATAATTTTCGCGTCCAAAGATATCGTGTGTGGCAAACTTATCGATTATGTGCTGCATGATCTTCGTGGCCACCTGGAAGACAGAAAAACAGAAACGATTCAAGTATCAGGAAGCAGAGCCTAGTTAGATGTGTGACTTACCTTAAACTTGAGCACATCCTCCATGCGTGCCGTCTTGCCGTCGCTGACGCAGGATTGAAAGAAACTGGGCGCCACAGACACGCCCAGAGCCTCACTAGTCATGCCCGTGGATGCGTGGGCCGCATTGCTGGCGATAACGCGGAATGTGCCAAAGAGTAAAACTAATAGATGTTGCGTATATTTGGGCAGTGATGCAAACAGTCTGCAAAGAATGGGCAAGAATACATATATTAAGAAATGTCGCAAAAAAATTGTATATATGTCAAGTCAGAAGCCGTGTAAAGATCGTCTTATCTATATGGATTTAGGTGGAAGCAAGTGTTACTCATATTTTTTAATTTTCATTACACCGCAGTGCACTGACTCATTGTCTAGCCAGGGCCATCAAAGAAAGCCACAGAGATGGGTTGAGGGGGAGTGGGCCTACAGAGCTAGAGCTAGAGCTAGAGCTAGAGGAAGAGCCAGAGGCAGCAGCTGCTTGAATTGTTCACACTTTCATTTTGGCATGTGCGGCTTGGAAAACCTGGCTAACGAATAAACTACGAAACTGGTCGCTCTTTCTGCCTGTCACTGCCTCTCACTCTCCCCCTCTCTCTCTCTATCTCTCTCTTTCTGTCTTGCTCGTTACACAACTGGCAGAGACTAGCGAGCCAGCGAAGCGAACTAAGCAACTATCAAAGCTATCCAATCAATTAATGCTCTTTGCTCTTCGCATCTGCAGCTCCCATAAAAAAGTGAAAACTTGAAGATACAACCACACATAGTCGAAGGCCATAAACGACGCTTGACAATGAATTATACTATAATACATGGTATATAAGGAGTAGAAGACTCTGACCCCCCCCCCCTCGCTGTTTCCCTTTATATTTAGCTGCTGGTGTGAATTGACATACAATAAGCAAAGAGGCTCAAAGCAAACACGAACAGTTTCGATCATATAGCTGCAGACAAAGCAGCAGACACCTGTAAGGGTGTTAAATGCATTGATTAGCTGCAACAATAAAGGGCGGCCTTTAAATGCAATTCCAATTATAGTTTAAAGAACAAAAATAAAACCGTTTCTGATTAGAAGAACAAAGAAATTGTACACAAGAGAAGAAATCATGACATCGCTAAGGCTTTTAAATAAACAAGAGCAAGAACAATAAACGTAAAAACGAGAAAGTTGAGATATCTCCGGCAGACCGACTATTTAATACTCTTGTAGACATTCATGGTTTGCAGATATGTGAAAATAGTGGAGCTCCAAAATGATGATGAAAATATCGGGGAAAACAGAACAATTGCCATAGCTACTGTTAGATCGATCTCTCCTATGAAAGCTATATGATATAGTAGTGCGATGTTGATAAGATTAAGCATATATATGAGGAGCATAGTGAAACTATAGAGATATCTAGATAAACGAAAAAAGGATTTCATTCAATAGCCTACTTTTCAACCGATCGTTCCTATAGCATGATAGAGTGGTCCGATTCGATCGGTTCATATATATGTTCTGTCTCTAATAGAAAGACGAATGAAGAACACACTAGTTCGCAATATCAACTAGGCTGTTGATGCTGATCTATTATATACATATATACTTAATGGGGTCGGAGATATCTTCTTCTATGCGTTACAAAATTATAATACTCTCCACAAGGGTATAGAAACATAAAGTTTATTTAAAGTGTCATCTGATTTATTTAGATTCAGAAAATAAGAAGGCAGCTTCATATTTCCACAGTTTTATTTTTAAGCAAATTCCACAAAATAGTAGAGAATCCATATCTTTATGTATTTCAACTAAACCAATTTTTAAGCAGCAAGTCTTAAAATCATATTGACAACAACTTGACCAAGTTGAACTTTTTTAGCTCCACACACAGATTTTAATTTATTTTAAATTTTAGTCGACAGTTAACGCTGAATTAGTGATAAACATTGTTTTTAAAGAGCAAAGTGCTCGTATCATGGGTCAAGGCTTTATAAAGTTACTTCATCTTTTAACTATCAGCGCGTTCACCTGTTTCCTCATTAAAAAAGCCAAGCAAATAAAGAGAGATACGATACAGCAACCCGAGCAATGGCCGCCTAGCCTATGGGTTGAACTTCTCGGGTCTGGCCCCCATCGATATCAACGACCCGATGTGAAGCAAACAAAACCCAAAAAAATGAAAACGTGCCGCCGCTGTAATAACATATTCTATATGGCCCACTGTCTAATCTTATCGAAGTGTTAAACTCTTTTCTTTTAAAGTTTACGAAGACTTCTACATGTGGAGGACATAGCTGATAATGAGGATACCTCGAACTCGAACTCGAACCCATAAAAACAATAGAATATAAACTGAATATAAAGCTGATAGCTCCGATTATCAATTATTATTAAGACCTATCAGCATTGTTTGGCTTTTGTTTACTATTTTTATGTTGCTCGGCGACACTCACAAATGGAATGCGTACAAATCGTTTACTAATTGCATCAATTACATGGAATGCGTTAGAGAAAAAAAATGGAAAAAAACAAAACAAAATAACACAAATAATACAATTGAACACGATTGCTTAAGCATAGCAAGTGTGTGTTGTCGTCTGATATCGATTCGATAAGCCGCACGACAGTTTTGGGTTTCCTATGAAACCCCTAATGGATGATTAATGCGCTTTTCAATTTGATTAATTTTAAGGTACAATAACTATGCTATTCATTTGGATGCTTGTTCAAGTTATATAACGATGACATTAGCTTAAGCTTCGAGAAAATTGCGGCTGAAGAATATTATACCATTAATCTGTCTGAAAGCTTTTATGAACTTTGAAAGCTGTTTTCACAGATATTAAGTGCTGACGGGCAATGCTTGAAAGTAAATGAACAGCAGTAAAACTGCAATTAAATGGCTGCTACTACAAGACTTTATTGCAAAGCAGAAAATATCTAAAGTGTGTTGCTTCGAACAGCTGTTCACTTATTTGAATCTCAAGCAATTTAATTAAAACTTGTTGCTTCATTTAAATGATAGTTTTCAGCCAAAAAATGACATTACTTTAAGCCAATGTCATCGTTAATAACAATATTTCGATTTGATAGCTGATGAAACTTTGAAAATCGCATAGAAAGGCGGCATTAAGTATACTTTTAGATTTTAAAAGTATTTTATTCATACATATATTTTTATAAACTAAGATTGTCTTGTTGGGGCAATTAAAACCTGGTTATGATGTGCCTTAAAGTTTAAGGAATTACTTGAATCTTATATATTTTACTTCCGTATTATATGTAATTTATTCATACAAATATTCATAAATTATTTTGTCAACTAAAACCTGTTAATAGGGCATCTTCTAGTCAAGTTCGATTTTGTGGCCTTAACAAAAGTTGTAGGAATATCTTCAATCTTTGAAAATCGCATAGAAAGGCGAAATGTTCTATACTTTTCCTTTATATACATATATATATTTTTGAATTCATTTACAAATTATGGTTATAGAGCATCTGCTAGTCGAGTACGCTCAACTGGGCCCAATCTTTCTTATTTCTACACATGATTTTATGTGTAATATTAATGGGATACATTAGAGAGCCTCATTTGGGCGCATACAGCTGGCCGCCTTATATAATAGTCAATCGAGACGCGTTACGCATGCGCCGTGTGGCCAGACAGCGTGGATATTTACATAATACTTTAGAAACCGGCTATATTAAAGGCATTTCTCTGAATTGGATGCTAAATAGTTTTTCGTATGTTTTACGCGTATCTGCATATTTGTTGGGCGCGTGTGTGTGAGCTACTGTTAAGGCCAACGCTGCGTCACATTATAGATGAATCATTTATTATTATTGTGTTTTTCATTCATAAAAAAAAAAATAAATATGTCGGCCACATACACTGTTTTTTTTTTCTCGCACTCTTCTGCCTTTTCAAGTGCCGCATTTGATTTGCTTTTTATTTCTTCTTATTGTTGTAACTGTCTTATTTCTTTCATTTTTTGTTGTTAATTTTTTGTATTTATCACATATATGGATGCATGTATTATATATGCATTGTTACGTATTTGTGCCCTACAGAGAAACCAGTTTTGATATTCCCACAACTCTTGTGCCACTTGAACGATTTCAGATGCGAGCTTTGCCGGCTGATAAGAGTCGCAAGTGCGGTGCAGGCGGCAAAAGGGGAAAGGGGGGAGAGAGAAGGAAGAGAGTAGCAAGATTGTTGAAATCGGAAGCATTCAAGAGGTTTAATCGCTTTTTATATACACCCAGCCATACTATGACTTGTATCAAGCATAATTACTGTCAAAATCTATATGTATACTTGAGAGATCACGAGAAACTAAGTCTTAACAACCCTAGCTCACAGCTTAGGCAAATAGTGAGTCAGGATACCAAGATCCTACTTGGTTTTTATCTGAATATAGTATGCACAATCCACTGGAATCGCAGTTAACGCACTTGCGAGAGAACAAAGAGAATACGAGACCAATGAAAAGCCCATGGTTTTCTGTATTGACGTCAATAGGACTTGGTTGCTTATCGTGCAACACAGTCTCTGCTTACTAAGCAGTGGTCGATCGACTATAAATATATATATATATAGGCATATCTTTCAAGTATATCTTTAGAGTCTGCATCAGCTGCAGCTGCATCAATATTCATCAATGCGGCTTCGATTGCGTTTGCGGCTCAACGTCTGCGGCTTCGCGGCGCCACGCCCCAAAAGCCTTTGTGTTCATTTAGCAAAAATGAGAGATTCAAACAGATGCGAAAAGCGAACCGCATCAGCAGCAGCAGAATTTGTTGTTGGCGTTAACAACAAAAAATACAATACGTCATAATAATGAGCCAAGTGAAACAGCAAACGCAAAGCACGACAAAAAAAAGAAGAAGCAGTTTCAACATATACTCATACATATGCACACACACACACACACACACACATACATGTACTTAGTACAGACATCACGATACTTGCATGGCCCAGCCACAAGTAGGAATCGAAGTCGAGTACTCGGCAAGCAGATACCATGTACTTGTTTTACTCATTACCATTTTTAGGATAATTCATTTACACCAAGAAGTCCAAGTGATATATTACTTTAACTCTTGATTGATATAACTTTTATCTTCATGCTCAAATAGCTTCATATATTGCCAAACAGATTAATAAAGAAAGCGATCGAGAATTTATATATATATGCTTTACATGTATTCCATAAATACGCCTCGCCTTAAGATACCCCTTTGTAGCGAAATACAGGGTATAGCAACGACAATGCCCAGTTAACACTATAGAGCAAAATATATATGTATGGAGAACAGAGTAAAAGCTAATGATATGACAAATTACGGCAACAACTTAGATAATTCCCGAGAGAGTTCAGTTGAAAGTACTTTTTTTTTCAAACCATATAATATTATTATTAGAATCAATTTGATATAGTCTAAAGTTTACTCTATCGTTTTTGTTGTATAGTGTTTGTCCGGCATATGGTTTAGTTATGAATGCGACTACACGCCAAAAGTTCAGGGCATTCACTGAAAAAGTCATACCAGAGGCAGAGGAAGAGATCCCGAGTTGGGGTAAATGGAGACAGATGCACAATATGAGCATGAATATGAAGAAGAAGAGGTAGAAGCAGCAGGGGAAGGGCTGAGACTCACTCGATGATGAGCTCCACTGACGCACATTTAGTACTGTGGAACAGATCAGTGTTTATATGCGTTATATATGAATGTATATTTATATTGTGCACTCGCTTATTTTACTTTTATTGGTTTTGTTTGGGCATTGGGCATTATATGTTGTTTATATTGTGTGACTGACTGACTGCCTGACTGTCTGACTATGGCGGCAGTTTAAGTTTATTTATGCAGCCCGTGGCCAATGAAAACTCTGAGTTAGCAGTTTATTCTTATTCTTTTCGTTATAAATGTATGTATATTAATTTGTTGTTGCGATTTGCGAAGCCCTTTAAGAAAACAACTATGACGAGAGTTTAGCACATTGAACAGAACAGAAATGAAAACAAAATAAAACAAAACAATTCTTTACAGTCCCGGGACTGACTACATAATGTAATAATCAGGAAGTGAACATCAGTCGATATTGCAATAGACCCAAACAGACGTCCAAGACAGCGACAGCGACGTCGACAGCGACGTCGCCTCTTGTTAATGCATTGGACAATGCGGCTTTTGTTATAAACTGTTTCCCTGTCTCCGTCTCTGTCTCTATAGCCTGTCCCTGCCCTTTATTTTGTTCTCTCTTTCTCTTTTTCTTTTTCTGCCAGCCGTCTGTTCAGTTGCCATTTCGCCTGTCTAGACCAACAAAAGCGGGCAATTTTTGCACTTATTGATATTCACAAACGGAAGGTTTCTCTGCCTAACTATTGTCACAGGCAGCCAGCCAGCCAGGCAGGCAGCAAGTCAGCCCAGGCAATTGTGCAAATATCCTATTAGCTTTGAAAATATACATGATATGACAGGCAGCTGCTAGTAAGTATACGAAAAGGTCTAACCCGAAAAAAGATATGTTTGAAAATAAATCTTCGAACGAGACAATGTCTAAGTACTTAAGAAAATGCATGCAAATTAGTCGCGCCTCACAATTAGCCAATTTCAATGCTATAGATATATATAAAGGTATTCGAGTAGCCCATATATTAACATTCAGTGCATATATTTTAAGTTATGATTAGACTTAACAAAGCTCGCCAAAGCTTTTCTGCATTGCTAACGCTTTAACCGACGTTCTTAAGCTTTATCTAACTTACAAGCGTATAAGCGCAACAGGCGTCCGCAAAAATAAGCTTAGAAGGAAGCCCGTTAAAGCTTTCAGCTAGGCAACAAGTTGAAGCCACAGGAACACAGCAACAATTGAGAGAGACAACAATGGAGTGTGCTTGTGTGTGTGTGTGTGTTTGAGAGAGGCAGTCAGGGAAAGAGGTTACACACACATACATGGGCAACACACCTGCCGTTAAACTTTCTTAAACATCAACGACGTCAGCGCCTTGATTGTGTGTTGTTTTTCTAGAATGTAATTTAACAAACAGAAGCACACACAAAAAATACACACACATGGTCTTATATATAGGGTTTTATATGCGAGTCTATTGCAAAAACGTGCAACCATGACGTCGTAGCTGCCGTCGCCCGTCTGCTGCAATAATAATAATAACACTTAACAACAGCAGCGACTACAACAGCAACAACAACAACAACAGCAACAAGAACAACAAGAACAAACGATGTGCCAAGTGATTGAATTAAGTGCCAATAGTTTTGTGAGAGACCTGTTTGCTGGGTTGCGCTTGCTCTTACGTTTTTACGTTTACGTTAATTGATACAAAGTCTCAAACGTGCGTCTCTTTATCTATTTATAAAAGTTTCAGCGGCAGCAGTCGCTATTTTCGCGCATTTGTTTGATTCGGACAACGAATCTGATTGCGATTGCTTAATGTGTGCGTGTGCATGTGTGCGTATGTGTGTGTGCGTGCGTGTGAATGCGAATGTGTGTTCGTTTTGTAGATGTTTTCGCTGTTCGCTTGCCGTTTGCCGTTTGGCGGCCTGTGCCTGCCCTAAAATGTAAATAAACAAAAGAAAGGTAACAGCAAACGCAGCAGCAACAGCAGCAGCAGCGGCAGCAGCAACACATAAACAATTACAACAATAAATGTGTATATAATTGTATGCTGACCACGGACGAAAAGTTTACAGTAACCAAATCGAAATTTACGCTTGAGTTTGAATAGCGGCTGCTGCTGCTGCTGCTGATATGAACAAATTATTTGGCGGTCGATTTTTACGCATGTACCGATACCCAATTTTAAATTTATGTTTTATTGCTGACGTTATTTGTTTACACGCACATTAGCATTAATGTAACAGCGTTGCCACTACCGCTGCCGCTGCTGTTGCTGACGTAGTTGCCGCATCCACCGCCATTCATCGTCATCTATCAAAGTGGCAGCGCGTATTAACAAAATCAAATATCGGGCAGAAACTCAAAATAGACAAATGTTAAAATAAAGCGTCGGCAATCAAACAGCTGTCAATGGCCAATTCAACAGCATTACGAGCTGGCAAGGTCGCTGCAGCGCCGATAAAAGCGAAAGATAATATCGATTGCGATTGTTATTAATGCTTAATTGCCAGCGCCGCTCACTTCGCAATCTCCTTACCCCCCCCCACCCCCCCCCCCCCCCCCCCCCCTTTACCACTCTTCCCACTCTCTATTTCACCCACAATATGCGCTGTTGTTGCAGTTGCAAAAAAAAATGAATACAATCGCAAATTACAAAACTGCAACATTATTTGATTTATTTTAATTGAGCATGCGTGGGCCTGTCTGTCTGTCTGTCTGTCTCTTCGTCTGTTTGCCCACGCTTTATGCTCTAATTCAGTTTGGTTAGAAATCGATTGCAGCAACAAAGCAAAGCAACGCGAATCAGCGCAAAGCAAACGAGCAAGAAAAACATTCAATTTACAGCTGCAAACTAAGTACTTACTGTGGGCCTAGGGGATTACACCCCGACCGACCGCCCGCCCGCCCGCTTGCACTTCTCAAAGCCAATTTTCGTCGCCTGCGCTTAGCGTTTAAGTGAAAATTGGTGAAAATCTGGCAAATGTGTCAACAAGTGCCTAGTCAAACGGGCATGAAACGCAGCTAAAGCAATAACAACAACAGTGAACAGCGCAGCATAGTAGTCAACGCTTTTCACTTAATTTCAACTAAATTCGTAGACCTCTTCACCCGCTACCCCCCTCTATTCCCCGCACACCCACCCAACATCTGCCAGCATGTGTGTATGTAGCGAAGATTCTTGAGCTGCAACCAAATCTAGATCCGGTTCAGCAAGTTTACCGCAAGCTAGTTACAATATACATACATACACATATACACACACACTGACATGAGATGGGTACATCAACGTTACTAGAGATGAGTGCGTGTAAGCACGATATATAAGTATTTTTATGCAGCAGCATATAATGAAAGGCTTAAACTTAACATACTCATAATTATTGTTTATAAACAGCAAATGGGATATCAAAAAGGCGCCAAAATGTTTATTAACATTTTGCAATATCAATTAATGTTGAATATATCAAATATTGTACATGAAGTCGTGTCACGCCATCAACACACAGTTTGCATATATATATATATATGTATATATATATATGTGTGTGTGTGCATACATAATTGACAATGTCGGCGACTCACCTGTGTAAACGGTCCGTTTGCTCGGCTTCGTTCTGCAGCTCGTTAATGGCAAAGAGCTCCGTCTCGCCATTGCGTCCGAAGATGCCATTGGGTATCTTGCGAAGGAACTTCTTTAATACGCTGGCAATGGTGAACACCGAATAGTTGTCAACGTTAACAAGTCGGCCCGCCTGCAGGAAGTGTATGAGCTTCTTCATTGCGCCCTGATGGCCGGGCGCACGAAAAACATCGCGTCGATTGGGCGACTCCTTGTTTAGTTTCAATATGAGCACAAGCAGCGGCCCAGGAATGTTGTTGTTGTGCTTGCATACCTCCTCCAGGGGTACACCGAACTTCACCTTCTCCAAGCGGTACGGATAGGCGGGAGCGGTCGCTGGATGGCCGCAGGATGTGACAACGTTGCCCAAATCAGCGGCGCGTCGATGCACGCGCTCAGCCCAGCTGGACATTCTGAGTGTATATATGTGTGTGTGTGTGTATGTGTGTAGATATTTGTAAGCGTCTGTTTGTTTGTGTGCGGTTATTTGCCTGCGTACGCGTTATGTATATCAATTCGTATGTGTGTGTTGCGTGTGTGTGTGTTTGTGTAGGCAACACTTTTCTTTCGGGCGTTCGGTTTTCACAGAAAAATGTGCTCGTTCATAATTTTATGCTGTTTTATGCTGGTTAAAAACATGTTCCTCTATTTCTCCCTTACTTTCCACTGGAATGTAACTGCGTTGTTATTGTAGTACTAGTAGTAGTTGTTGTTGTTGTTGTTGCTATTTTGTCTCTGAAAGATAAATGCATAATCTTTCGTTGTGTCGTTGTTACTCAGCTCCTCGTACTTGTATCTGTTAATTTTTTGTTGTTTTGGGCGTTGTTTGAATTTTCTTCGAACGTAGTAATTATTTTCTTCGTTAAGATTTCTCAAATGTTAATTGAATATTACAAGATCTTTGTTTTATATATGTGTGTGTGTGTATACGCTTGCTTCGATTTGGCGATTTCAATTTTTTATGCTCGCGCAGTCACAGCAGCAGCCACTCCAGTATGCACTTTTTTAGCTTTGCTGCTTCTTTTTTTTCACTGTTGCCGTCCCTTCACAGCTTAAGCGTAGATAGTGCGCCGCGTTGTAGCATATTGAGCGCAGGACATATTATCCACAAGCTACGTTTTAGGTGTACCGACGCGGCTGGTTGTTGTTTTTTTTTTTTTATTTAATTAATGGGTTAGTTTTCGTGGCTCTTAAAATAATTTTCGCGTCTCTGCACGCACGACTTGCAGCTTCAGCACTTGTGTATACACTAGCGATGCGCCACTTTTTTCTACTAGGGATGTACAGATGTATTGCGGCTGCCACATACCGATATATCGCACGAATAAACTATCGACACTCCTTAAGCTATGCTAATTACAGTGTATCGATATCGATGAATAAAATGTCACCCTGCATACAATGAGTAGTATCGAATCTCTAATTATGGCGAATATGTGTAAAGTGAAATTGTTGCAAAGGAAATAACAATAATACAAAGCTACCAATAAGCCGCTTATTCATTACAAGTTTTTAACCAAAAGAAGTACGTATTAAGCATAGTAGGCTATGAATGTATTTATAGCGCATCTGACACACATACATTCATTTAATTTATTTTTGCTTGTCTCAATTATTTTGTTGTCTGCTTCAAAACAACAGCAACAACAACACGTACAATTTTAATCTTTTTCTACGAAAAAAATATAAGTTAATAATAAAAAAAAGGCGACTAACGCAAGACTACGAAACGCAGCGCATTTTGCTCAATCGCTTATCCAAAATTTTCAAGTTCCATTTGCAAAAACAATTTTTATATGTGTGAGTGCCGCTGCTCACCTTGAATCCGTAGTCGTTGGCTGTTTCCCCCTCCGTACGCGTCTACGTATATAAGATATTGACCCTGTACGCCTGATACATATTTAAAACACACGCACATGCAACACACACACACACGCACATCGACGTACATACCTAAATAAGTTGCTGCATAGAAACTTTTTTCAATTGGCAGGTGAACAAATGACCACCGCCGCCTCCACATCGCAAAATGCGTCGTCGACGTTGATGGCAGCTGGTGGAGCCGGTGGCGCGGGCTCCACGACAACAACAACGTTGACGACGACACCCAGCAGCTCGGCTGTGCGTGCCCTGGCCATGGAGTACAAGTCGCTTCAGGAGGAACCAGTCGAAGGATTTCGCGTTAAGCTAATGAACGATGATAATCTGTTTGAGTGGGAGGTGGCCATCTTTGGACCGCCAGATACACTATATCAAGGTGGCTATTTCAAGGCGCACATGAAATTTCCACACGATTACCCGTACTCGCCGCCATCCATACGCTTCCTCACCAAGGTATGGCATCCGAATGTGTACGAGAACGGCGATCTCTGCATATCCATACTGCATCCGCCTGTTGATGATCCTCAAAGCGGCGAGCTTCCCTGCGAACGCTGGAATCCTACACAGAATGTGCGTACCATTCTTCTCTCGGTTATTTCGCTCCTTAACGAGCCCAATACATACTCGCCAGCCAACGTGGATGCTTCGGTGATGTATCGCCGATGGCGGGACTCCCAGGTAAGTGTTAATCCAATCGCAACATATGAAGATCTAATATATCACGCAGGGCAAGGACAACGAATATCCGAACATAATACGCAAACAGGCACTAGCCGCCAATGCGGAAGCCAAGCGCGAAGGCATTGTGGTGCCTATGACACTGGAGGACTATTGCCTGAAGCCCACGGTCAAGCCAAGCACAGAGTCCGGCCTAGATGCAAACTTCTATGATGATGATTTTGATTTGGAGACCGAAGATTTGCCAACAGACTCGGATGAGGAGGATGATGAGGATGAGGACGATGAAGATGAAGATGAAGAGGGCAACGGGGAAAGTGCACCAATTAGCAAAAATAATGGCAATGCAAAGTGCACGAACAATGGTTTGTCGGCAAAATCAGCTGCAGCTTCTGCAACAGATGATGCCGAGTCCGCTGATGACAGCGGTAAGGGAGAGACTACATAATGCAGATAAACACGCTCCATCTCCACTCTGCTCCTGCCCTAGGCGTCTGCGTAGCATTTAAATGATGTACTAAGTGTGAAAAGAAACGAAACGAGCTGCTTGAAGACGCCCCCTAAGGCCAATCGCTGGTTTATCATTTCTCTCAACACAATTATTATTTTTTTACCATAAATTATGTACAATTGTAAAACTGAAACGTGAATTATTTCTTAGCTGGCCCGCTTTATATCCCCCAGCTAGCCTCTGGCTAGGCACGTTTTAAACCCGTTCATAGAATTTCAAGAGCTTGCGATTCCTTTTAAAGCAACTAAATACCACTCAAAAACTGAAAACGATTATACAAGATATATATATATACAATATACATATGTATTAGCTATTATTATTTAAAAAATATATATACAATTACACACATCCATGTACTTGTATGTACAAATCATTAGAGGGGGCGCTACAGATGCAAATTTTTAATGAGAACTATCCTAACAAGCGAGAGACATCCTAACAAAAGATAAACTAACAAGAAAAACATAATATACAATCAACGGATTTCAAGAACGGAAAGCAAACATGAAAAGTAGCAATTAAGGAATATTTAAGTGCAAAAGAACACCAATTGCAATATTGAAAAGGAAAACTGCATTGTATGATAAATTGCAAAGATTCATAAGCCAAATAAAATGACAAAAAAAAAACTCCAACGTTGATTACTTGAAAAGTGAACAGTTCACATAAAATTCGAATAAGCAAAGATACGGCACGTGTTCATTCTTATTCCAAGTGTACGGAAAAGATCAAAAATATATATTCATTGATTTGAGGAACATTCTCGGAAATATGCTATTACCAAGATCATCAAGGCATTGTTAATTGTGATAAGGTATTTATCGAAAGTTAGTCGATCGTTTGCGTACAGTACGGGCTTCTCGCAGAGATTATTTTGCCATCCGTTTATTTGCTCAACTTTTGAATATTTTAAATTTGGGTTATGAGTTTGGCGCGCTTACGCCATGCCAGAAGCGCCGGGGTAAGGTCCTTGTCCGTAATGGCAGGCATTCGTATAAGGGAGCTATAGACACCAATGTCCGCCACGGACATTTGGTCGCCGCCAAAGTATTGTTGCTGCTGCAACCGCTTGTCCAGCAGCCGCACCATAGCCACTTGGCTCTTGTGTGTGGTGCAGCGCAACAGTTGATAGCAAATGTCCAGCACAGCATCGATTTCGTTGCAGAGCGGCGAGTTTTCATAGCGATATTCTGTGGGGCCCACTCGCCCCAAATACCTTATGATATTCACCTCACCATAAATGGGCACATACATTGTAGGCGAGCTTATCATTTCGGTGTGTTCGCCTAAGCAGACAAATTGTAAGATTAATCTAGATATAACTGAGTACCATAAGCCCTTGCGTACAGTTCTTCCATATAAGCGTCACGTTGATCTTGGGCAGCGCTGGATTCATAGACACCTTCGCCAGATTAGCCTCAAACTCTCGCGCTGCTGGCCCAATATCCGCCATCGTTGAGTGAGTAAAGGTCTTCACATCAATGGTGTACAGGTCGCGCCAAGCGTTCTTCAACGCCAACAATGCATATGGTATAAAGTTGGGATGTCCATTGACGACGACATCATGCAGCGGCACCTGTCGCAACACATTTGCATAGTATTTTATATGGTTATAAGGCCAAAGCTAACCTACTTCTTTTAGTCCACCGTTCTGGTAAGCTGTTGTATGCTGGACGGTCTTGCCACACACACGCACACCCAAGCTGGCGCGTATTTTTCCCAGCTGCGCTTTGAGCTCCTCGAGTTGTTTCAGCACCTTTTCCTGTCGCTCCAACACAGCTGTTGTGTCTTGGTTCTAAAACAAAAACAACAAAAAGGCAACGCACTGCATCAATAAAGGACAATTCAGTTTCCAAAACTGACTGCTAAAAAAAACTAGAGATGGGCGCGTGACAATATCATATCGTTGCATATCCTTTGAAATAGTTAGGTTATCGCGTCTGGAAATACTCGTTCGTTAGATAGATAAAAAATGTTTACATTTTCATTAAATTTGTTGTTAGCAACAATGCATAGTGTTAATAGCCAAGTTTTTAAATACCCTGGACTTATTTTTGGGCACATTTTCACACGGGTCGAAAAATCATGCGCCCATTTCTAATGTGAACACACGAACACAAACTTGAAAAGCACGGTGCGTGTTATGCATTTTTGTTAGTCAGTGGAATTTATAAATAGACTTATAATTTTGTGTTTAGCATATACATCTTTTAACCTTTAGCAAATGTTGTATTTGTCTGCCTAAAATGTCCAAATCAAGTGCACAGGTGCCAGCTTTTGTATTGTTGCTCTCAATCTCCGCAGCGCCACTGCATTGAATTTGATGGGCCTTTTATTTTGATATCATGTAGTGAATGAAAATTAAATGATTTTTGAGTTTTCACACAGGCTCAGCACAGAAGTAAGCTCCTAGATGGAGCATTGGCAACCAATTGAAAAGCAATTCACTGGCACTTTAGTCACTGTGACATTCTGTTCCAGCAACGCTCATCTCTAATTTGGGCCACGGCAGCTGCGAACAACACTTACTGCGGGGCCTGGTGTAGCGCCGGCGGAGAGGCTGACATTCCTTAATTCGTACATACAGGTGGGCAGTGTAATATCAAATTGTGGCAACAAAGTCTTCAGCTCGTACATTTCACGATCCAATTTGGTAGCGGGTTTAAGTGGATACAGCACAGAAAAATGTGCTTGGCGGTAGCGATGAGTCAAGTCTATTATCGATTTCTCGAATTTCTTATGATGTCTATATATTCTGAGCACGCAATCAATATCGATAACATTGACAGATTATGCTTCTTTACTGGCAAATAGTTTGACCAATTTTTCTCACTTCAATGACCTTTCCACTGCCAACAATAATACAAGCATAAGCATACAAGCATAAATTAACAAAAATTATGCTATGCCACTGCTAAAAAGTTCCTGTGATTTTATTAATTCTACGCGACTGCTGATAGTTGAATTTAACAGCCTTAATCGTTATCGATAATTCGATATACAATAATGACATTCTCTGAGGCGTTGACGTAAACATTTTAAACGAGTTGACACTCCCATCTAATGGCGTCTATTTTTTAAAACATAAGAACAGAATTATTTGTTTACCAGAACAAAAATGAACAATAAAAAATCAAGAAGTTCGGTGAGTGAAAAATCATATCTCATAAACGGAATACATATAATACCCATTCTGTTAGCTAAAAAAAGGGCCAACCCAGGCGGATGAGGAGCCTGATCCTGTACGAACAATAAAGCGTCGCATCAGTTTTAGCGGCAAAAAGTTTATAAGGTAACAAAATTTGATAATATATACATATATATTTAAAGCATCGCTCTTGTTTGAAAAATACAGAGAATTTGATACTACGGAGAAACCACGCGACTACGACAACTCATATGAAATATCGGACCATACCAACGGCGACGATAGCTCCGGCCAAACCCATGGCACTGTGGCAGCGTCTGTACTGCAAAGTACAGCCCACATCTCCACATTGCCCAATGAGATGGACAAGGAGAATACATCGCCCATCGCAATAGCTCCAGGCTCAGTGTACGATCAGAGTTCTCGATTTAGCGATTCTACACTCAAACTCCAGACGAGCATTAATGTGACGCTGCTACCAGATGAAATGGCCAAACACCATCGGCGAATGGAATCCTCGGCCCTTTTAGAGTCAATGTCAAGAGACAGTTTATCCTTGTATGAAGCGGAACGTGTAAAGCTGCGTGAAAATAGTGTATATAGACTGCCAGTTTTTGAGAAAACAATGGATCTGATTCCAGAAACGCTTGCTTTTGCTGAGGTATGTAGAAGAATCTAAATGAATTCTGGCTAACACCATTTTCTTGCTGATGTCAAGCAAATGTACTTTGTAATGGTTGTAACGTCATAGTTGTCTCAGTTATTTGAGTATAATTCATAAAATATCAAATGTTTTATGATTAAAACGACACTTTTTTAATGACATTTATTAACCATTTCAGCTAGAGCCCAAGCATCTGGAAAACAGAGACGAACATAAAACTATTGTAATACCTGCGGATATTAGTTGTGTGGCTCAACAAGTCAGCCAGAAGACGGTGCTATTCGAGAACAAAGACATATCTTGTGATTTTACCGACATTGGTAGGGATAACAATGAAAAAAGCCAAAAGCCGAATGCCTAAATATTGAAATCCTTTTTTTCAGAGCCAAAAGAAAGTTGTTGGGCTGCGGGTGCGACGGCAAAACCAACGCAAGAAAATGAATCCATTGATGTGGTAGAAAAAGATTATATGAATTATTTGCCAGATGATTCGACGTTGTCTTCGCCGTTAATACCCTTGGATGTGATATCAGAGAATGGGATTAGCAAGAAATTGAATTTTCGGCAACTGAACGATGCCTTGAACTCCGGCCAAATACAGTTGTTTCCCAACGGTCCGAAAACACCAACTACTGATCGCAAAGCAAAGCAACAGCGTTTTTGGCATGGTCTAGAGCAGCAGCCCGCGGAACAGGATGCCCCCCTTAGAGAAGTCATTAAGCCACGCGGCACGCTTAATTTTAATGAGAGCATGATGATGTCGCCCATACCGCAAAAGCCCGAACCTAATCTAATGGCAACAGCAGACCATTTTGAGCAGTCGGTCAAGGCTAAAAGCTCAAATAACCCTAGACGCAACTATCGCTTCTCCCAGGCGGACGAGCTGATGCTAGACAATACAAATTTTCTTGTCCATGCCAAAATAGGCGATGAAACACAGTCACGAAATAGTTCCAAATCTTCATCGCGACGGGAAACGACCTACAATAATACTGCTATGGAATTGGATGATCTGGAAAAATGTGAAGCAGCAATGAGAGCTGCTCTGGAAAGCGCCAAGCACAAGGAAACTATGCAACGCCCAGAACCGATGGAAGAAGAAACTTTATTAAGTCCCTGCAAAAATGCAATCAACACAATGCATAAGCCAGCTGCAGTTCAGCAATGCAGTCAAGCAGATTTGAATCCCCATAAAGCACAGCCATCTCAGCAGCTCAGCAATCTAAGGCAATCATTGCACGTGTCTGAACCCATTGAAGAAACCTTCCTTGACTCGCACAATGAGTTAAAGTCAGTTCGGCCTGCTGCTCCAACAGTATCGCAACGCATGAGGCATGGGCACACATTGCAAATGACTGAACCCATTGTAGAGGATCTGGTTATACCACATATTGAACCGGCAGCTCATCAAATGAAAAACAATACCCGCAGACAAACTATATACGCAGCAGAAGCCATGGATGAAGATATCGTAATGCCTTGCCAGGAATTACCCTCAAATTCGTTAGCTCCTACAGTGGAGAAGCAGTGCAGCAGGCGCCGGCAAACATTGCACGTGGTTGATTCCGTTGAAGAAGACTCATTCTGCTCGAATAAAGGCCGTAAGACAACTGCTTCCATGAAATCCAAGCACAATAAGTACAGGCAAACGTTGCTCATGGCTGAACCCATTCAGGAGGATGTCATGGGGCCACAAAAAGAAGCGATGCCGCAACCAGTGGAGCAGCAGATCAGCGGGCGTAGACAATCACTTAATCTGGACGAATCAATTAGAGAAGATTCGTTTTATTCGGCGACTGCTGCTCCAGTAGAGCTGCATAACAAAAAGAACAGACACACAATGCACATGGCTGAATTCATTGAGGAGGATCTTGTAAGACCACAACAAGACTTACATGCTCAACCGACAGCTCCTACGATGGAAGAGCAGTATATTAGACGTAGACAAACACTACACTTGGTTGAATCCATTGAAGAAATTGTCGTTCAACCCCAGTCAAAGTTTACTGCAGTGGAACAACAGTACAGCAGGCGCAGACAAACATTGCATCTGGCAGATCCCATTGAAGAAGACTCGTTCTGTTCAATGCCCAACGCTGCCAATCAGCATAAAGATAAATTCCCTGGGGATAAACCAATTAACGACGAATTGACGCGACAGTCAGAAGCTCCTGCAGTTGGCCTGCAGTCCAATAGGCGTAGACAAACTTTGCACATGTCTGATCCCATTGAAGAAGACTCTTTCTGTTCAATGTCCACAGCAACCAAATCGCATAGACATACATTGCAAAGGGATGCGCCAATCGCGGAAGATGGACCAAAGCCGCAAGAAGAATATAGGCGACAGTCAGAAGCTCCTGCAGTTGGCCTGCAGTCCAATAGGCGTAGACAAACTTTGCACATGTCTGATCCCATTGAAGAAGACTCTTTCTGTTCAATGCCCACAGCAACCAACTCGCATAGACATACATTACAAAAGGATCCGCCAATTGTGGAAGATAGCTTAAAGCCGCAAGAACAATGTAGGCGAGATTCAGAAGCTCTTGCAGTTGGCCTGCAGTCCAATAGGCGTAGACAAACATTGCACATGGCCGATCCCATTGAAGAAGACTCTTTCTGTTCAATGTCCACAGCAACCAAATCGCATAGACATACATTGCAAAGGGATGCGCCAATTACAGAAAAAACCGTAAAGCCGCAAGAAGAATTAAGGCGGCAGTCAGAAGCTCCTGCAGTTGGGCTGCAGTCCACTAGGCGTAGACAAACATTGCACATGGCTGATCCCATTGAAGAAGACTCTTTCTGTTCAATGTCCACAGCAACCAAATCGCATAGACATACATTGCAAAGGGATGAGCCAATTACGGAACATAGCTTAAAGCCGCAAGAATTGGCGCGACAGTCAGAAGCTCCTGCAGTTGGCCTGCAGTCCAATAGGCGTAGACAAACTTTGCACATGTCTGATCCCATTGAAGAAGACTCTTTTTGTTCAATGTCCACAGCAACCAACTCGCATAGACATACATTGCAAAGGGATGCGCCAATCGCGGAAGATGGACCAAAGCCGCAAGAAGAATATAGGCGACAGTCAGAAGCTCCTGCAGTTGGCCTGCAGTCCAATAGGCGTAGACAAACTTTGCACATGTCTGATCCCATTGAAGAAGACTCTTTTTGTTCAATGTCCACAGCAACCAACTCGCATAGACATACATTGCAAAGGGATGCGCCAATCGCGGAAGATGGACCAAAGCCGCAAGAAGAATATAGACGACAGTCAGAAGCTCCTGCAGTTGGCCTGCAGTCCACTAGGCGTAGACAAACATTGCACATGGCTGATCCCATTCAAGAAGACTCCTTCTGTTCAAAACTAACTCCCGTTCCCGTAGAAGCTCAGTCCAGCAATAATGCAAAAACTTTGCTCGTGACAGATGCCATTGATATCGATGAGATGAAATCTCATGCACATTTACAATCCACATCAGCAGCGCACCCAGCTGAAAAGCCAAGCACCAAACATAGACAAACTTTACTCATGGCTGAATCCATTCAAGAAGATATAACTAGCACGCACAAAGGAACCAACTCTAAACCAAAGGCCAGGCAAACACTAAACATAGCTGAGCCCATTGAGGAAGCCATTTGCAATGCAGCAAAATCGTTAAAGCTACAAGCAGATCCTTCCATCGACCAATATAAGAAAAGTGCACGTCAAACATATTTCATGGAGGAAGCTATGGAGGAAGACATCAGTTGCAATCAATCAAAGCCGACCACCCCACCCAAGTTACAACCACCAAGGAAGCCAAGCCACACATTACACAGAGAAGAAGCCATGGATGTAGAAATGGCAAAAGTTCCGCCAACTGAGCAGCGCTTCAGCAAGTCCAGACCCACACTGCTGATGTCGGAATCCCTAGAGTTGGAATTGCTAAGCCAAAGCGCCTCCGAGGATATTAATAAAACGTTAGATGACAGTCCTTCAGATTCAGCAGAGTGGTTAGCCCAGAGGCTCAAAGCACGTGAAGCATTGTCCAAGTCAATGCCAGTTAAGCAGGAATTTCCAAGTCCAGATCGGCTTAAGAAAGAGCCACAATATCAAGCTGTAGACACAAAAAGCGTCTTAAATCGACTTATTAACCGTACAAGTGTGGAAACCCCTGAGATGACTAAAAAGCAGCAGAATTGGCATCAAAATTTTTTTCCCATCACGCCCGGTCGTTCAATGATTGAGTATGAGGACCTGGAGGAAGAGTGCAAGGTTGAGAGCCCAGCTGCAAAACCTGCTCTCCAATCTATATACAACACTATGGATATGGAGCTCGACATGGACACTTCAAACTTTGGTACTCCCAAGCAACCGACTTCGTTTACCGTGAAGCGCTTGCCAATACACTTGACACCTAATTTGCCGCAGCCCAAAAAACGCAACACGCACTTGCCAGTCAAAATGGAGGACCAGAATGTGTAAGTCAATGTTCTCTCCAGACTTAAGGCAGTACCTAATTTTGTATTAATAAATTTCAGTAGCTCAGCAATTGAACTAGAAGCATCAGCACAAAAATTGGAGCAATTAACGCCCGCTAGAAACAGATCACGAATTCCTGTCTTAGCCAAATCATTGAATTCACCTTGGCGTGAAACGGAGCAGCTGGACGGCACCGTGCAGATGGTGAGGGCAGTAATGATGGGACAGACACGCTGCCAGAAAATGGAGATCACTCACTTGACGCAAGATAAGGCGAAAACGGAGCCAGATTTGTATGAGGATAACCCCATAACCATTTCGGATGTGTCAAATCATTTTACGGCGCAGCGCGAATTGGCCAAGCGTTCACAAGCCAAAAAAGCTGAGCAGCAGGCCAGGAAATCGTCCATTGAAAGTCGCAGCTCAAATGAGCATTGCAATAAAAGCTATGCGACAACCCATAAAAGGTTTATAAATCTAAGTGGCGATACCGTAATCCTTGCCGCCGCTGAAGTTCTTGACGAGGAGTCGGAGGTTTATGAAATTGATAAGACACGACTCAGTCTGGTGTCGACCTTGCTGGACGAGGAGGACGACAGAGAAAAAGAAACAGCTCATAGCAACAATATCGAATTAGAGTCCAATGCCGAATCTGATGCTTGCCTTGAGCAACTTAATCCACCAGCAGTGGCTGGGGCAGCGGATGCGTGCAAAAAATGCAAACATTGCAGGCGCTCAATGGACAATGCGACAACGCGCAACATCTCTGCGGATTCATTCGAATTGCCGGATTCCCCTGATCTAGATGAGCAGTTTGAACGTTTGGATAGATTACGACAACGGCCACGTCTTGAGGATGTGCACAAATATTGGGAGCTCAAAAAACTGGAACTTAACCCCGACGATGAAGATGAAGAGAAAACGCACAACCCTATAAGCGATACAAGTAGTTTAAGTCTATCACAAATGCTTGAGATGTTCAACAACAAGTGCGAAGAGTGAGTAAAAGACTGATATCAAAAACGATTTCATCCTTAAAATGAACTCCTTTTTATTTAGGTACAAGCAATTCTGTCCAAAACCAAAACCAGTTGAAAGGTTTGTCAAGTGCTTGGAAGACTCAATGCGCGACCTGTTGCCCAATTGGATATTTCATGATAATCTTAAGTATTATCGTAAATATATCTTCTCACATCGTAAAATAACCACATTTCAACTCGTCGTTGATTATGAGCCGTTGGACTTACTGGAAAGTAAGATACGCGTGAGCAGCATTAAAATGAGAAAATCGAACATACCTCCGAAGTGTAGGTGTCTATATTTTAGACTCTTAACTCAATTTATAACTGGTTCTATTTCACTTTCAGTTCCATTGTGGAATGTCTACGACCATCTGATGGATTTTCAGCTTAAGCTTAATCTACCATTGAACCTGGATCGTCTGTTGGATGGCAACGAGGTTGTAGATTTTGTCAAATTCTTACAGCACATAGATGGAGTCTGCTTGAGAGTATATAGCATATGTAGAAATATGCAAATGGTGTTGACTACAGCAGGAGCACGGATCTTAAGGTGAAACCCCAAATCAGTTTAATAATTTGATTGTTTAATTGTTTTAATATTTCAATTATTAGAGAGTCTAATCGCATTATTCTGAGAAAGACTGTGCGTCGATTAATTAAGAAGGAAGATGAGGCATTTGCACGTATGGAGAAAACCAACTTTAAAATTGAAATCGGTAACGTTCAGGAGATCTCGTTTAAGGATATTCTGCAGCCAACTTTGTATCAATTCGATGAGAAAATTCAATTTTTACCAAAGGGTATCGCATTTTTGGAAGCCTTCCTGCAAAATCCCGATCAATTTCTAAGGCGTAACGTCGAACACAATAATTAAAGTTTTATTGTGGACGATTTGGTGAGCCAGAAATATAACCAATAGGACTTGTTTTATACATAAAATATTAAGATATTCAAAGTTATGTAGTAATTATATTAGATATAAATGACATTTATAATCAGTTTGCCAATCAATACTTTTAAAGACTTTTTTGTTGTTCTTTTTTTTTTGTTTGCATTCTAACTAAAAATTAAAGTTGTTCTTAAGTTATTTACATTGAATATAATAATATACAAATGTCGCTTTTTAAATAATTGTTCATTTTGACATATTTTAAGTATGGCACTAAGTTATACCAAATAGAAACCGCAGAAATAAATGTGAATATTCAAAAATCAACGGACAATATTTTTAGATGTACAAAAAAAAAATACCATCGTTCAAATAAATACTGTATGAAAAAGCTTGTTATTTATGTGTAATTTGAATTCCAACTGTCGTTTAATAAAGTAAGCCAATATAAAGCCTAGTATTTTAATAGTATTTTTGTAGTTTTTCGTATTTTGGTCTCTCTGAAAATCGGCCACATTCCAATACTGGAGCTGGTTATCAAAACAAAAGTCGAAAGAAAAATTGCAACAAACACAAACACTAATAAAGACGGAAATATTGGAAGCATACGATTGCAGTATTGAATGACATGTGGTTTGATCCATCCGGATACTATGTGGTTGCCTTGAGCACTCTGCTGCTATGCATTTTAATAGCCCTTTATTTTGCCAACTTTTTGAAGGACGATTCTGTGAGTAGCCAATTGAAATAATCTCAACCCCGAAATGCACTCGAATGCATGTACTTAATACAGGAGCTGGAGGATGAAGGCCTTGGCGATGACGAGGTGCGTTTGGAGGATGATCCCGTAATGAAAGCACAGTTGCAAGCGCGCCTGCAAAGGGAAATCGATGATGATGAGGCCTACGAGGAAGAGCAGGAACCGTTAAGCGAGAGCGATGCAGAGCAAGGACCAGGACCAAAGGCGCCCAATTACAGCAATCTGGTGGGAAAGTTCAAGGCCAAGCGATACCAGCACAAGCTGGAAAAGAACCTATCACCCAGCCAGATTGAGGAGGAACGACGGATCGAGCGTGAACAGTTGGCGGCGATTTTTGAATTGCTGCGCAAACAGGAGGATGAACTGAATCTTAAGGATCGCATAAGCGATTGCGAGCTTAAGCAGCAAGTTAAATTGTATCGTTAGACACATTTTCAACCAGAGCGTGTGATTATCACTTTTGTGTGCATGGATTTCGGGGAACTTCTGTATCTGCTTAGAATTGCAAGGTTTAGGCTGGAGCCTTAATATTAAATGCTTAACACGGAGTTCCGGGAAGAGGCAGAGACGAGTGTCATTAATTTACAATTTATAGTCAAAGACGAATAGATTTTATTCTGTATTTAAGTGTCTTTTATATATATATATGATGTATATAAGATATAGAGAAAGCATGTTCTACTTCAAGTATTAACTAATTACGAAGTGTGTTTGGGATAACTTAGCCCAAAGGACCTTCATATATTTATAAATGTGCGTTGATATTCTTGTCCCCATGGAAATATATGATTTATTTAAAATACAATCTGAATGTACAAAATCTAAAACCTTTACGAATGGCTGCACGGGGCCTTTAAGAGATTGATAAGTGGAATTTCTCTTCCCAAACATTGAAGAGATAAAGGAAACTGAAAGATAAGTAACTACAGCAACCCCTAATAACTTCTCTCTGGAGGCAACATAGCAACCGAACAATTTCTATGACAACCAAAATTTGATTTATGTAGCATTCTGTCCACATAATTTTCTACTCGCAAGCTGCAGAAGCTAGTGAAATCAATTCCAAAAATTGAATTGAACAAAAAAGAATAACAATATAATGGTAAACTTTGTGTACCCGGAGGAGCTTTACCTGTTCGTGGAGAGCATTCGTTCCTTTCAGGTGCGCGATGTGGGCAGCAGCAAATGGCTGGAGGTCCACGAGATGATAATCAAGCTGAGCCAGCAGGCGGCGCTTGAGGTGGCCGAACAGCGTGAAGAGGAAGTCAAGGAGTTTCTCGTTTCCCGGGACAAGCTGTCGGTGCTCATAAATGAGGCCTATTGTGTCAATCTGTGGAAATCACGTGTGCTGCCCCATCTGCTGGAGATTGATCCGAATCCACAGGCAACATTCTTGATTTACACGGTGCTGTACCATGAGGCTGCTGTGGTGGCGCTGCTCGATCTATGCCTTTACCATCCCAGTGGCTGCGAATCGCTTCAGGATTCGGTGCTAGATTTGATCGATTACTGTGCCCAGGGTGTTGCACAGGTAATCGGTTTGGTTAGCATGGGCTACCACGAGAACGAGACCAAAGTAGATGTGGACGAGGCCGTGCTCACCGAGCTGGAGCGCCAAAAGCGCGATCTCATCTATAAGATTGGCCTGCGCTGCGTTTCCCTGCTCAGCTACCTAGCTGACAATGTGTCGCTGTTCCATTTGGGCGCAGCTCGTCGCATGCTAGTTACACACGATATACCCTGGCTCATGGTCGATGTACTCTGCTTTCGGCCCTGGCAACGCAATACCAGCAAGGGCTTGGAGAAGTTTATCGACGAGAAGTGGGGCGCCGTTGAGGACGCAGCTAAAATTATAAAGCCAGAGGCCCAAGCCTGGTTCTGTGTCCGCCAGCTACTGCTCAGCCCGCAGATAGTTGATAATTATCCGCTGAATGAGGCGCGTTGCAAACAGCTATCCAAGGTAAAAAGATGTAGCTGCATTGAATCCGGGCTAATTCTCTTCATCACAGCTGCTGAGCATGCTACACGAAACGCTGTTGGATCAGCTGCCGGTGCTGATCGAGCTGAAGCAGTACATCAGCCGCTTAACACTCAGTGGGAATTCTGGCAAAAAGGCTCAGAATCTAATTTTAGAGGATATGCCACAAATTCAGGATAACCTCATCAAAGAGGTGGAACGCGACGGCGGCTTTTACCAGGTAGCTCAGAACCAGGATGGCGTGTTCCTCAACAACAATCGAGAAGAGATCTGCGCACTGGCCACCAAACTGAGCAGCGCCTATGGTACAGAGCTTTTATGTGAATTGGAGCAGCACATGGCCGATTTGGAGCTGAAGAAGGATGAAACCAAGTCAAATGGCACTCCTGCAGCCGACGAAACGGTCCACAAATGCGGCACTTGCCAGGAGCCGGCAAAAAAGAAATGCGCCAACTGCAAGCTGGTTCATTATTGTTCCCGGTGGGTTTCACAATTTTCGCGCGAAAACTTCTCACAATTAACAAATGAGTTCCTTGTTTCCAATTCCAGAGAGTGCCAACTTAAGGATTGGCCGCAGCACAAGGACACGTGCATGAGCAAGGCTGTCTAGCATAACTGTTTTATCTGTTTACTTTGTATTAATGTTAATCACACTAAAGAACATTCCAAAAATTGACGTTGCACTCCTTTTTTTTTTACAAAATTTTTGTAGGTGTTTTTTCTTTATTTAGCAATAAAAAACTTGCCAGGTAGTCTCTCATTCAGCAGACGGGGGAACGGCAACGGCAACATGTTTAGCTGTTCTGTCTGAGATGGTCCTTAACTACATCCAATGCGGGCGTCTCCTCACCGTAATCCTTAATGACAACCACAGAGCAGCCGCACACCTTGCGTGGCTTGCCCTCCTTGTCGATCTTGCACAGACCGGACCATTCGCCCAGTTTCTTGTGCGAATCGACACGAATCAGCGGAATCTGATGCTCATTGCACAAGGCTGTGATCAGTTTCTTGTAGTTGGGCTCATCAAAGGATTCGGCCAGAATGCAGAGGACAGCTTGACGCCTATTCAAAAAAACCAAAAAATACCGATTAGAATCAATTTTATCCAAGCTTATGTTTACATTAATTGGCTTTGTGGGGTTCTCAGTAATTGGAAATTTGCGATCAATGTAAAATTCATAAACACGGACCAATTAATCTCATCAGCGTGTGCCAAAACAAGAGCCAAATAATTATAAGTTAATGTTGCTGCTTACTTGTCCAAAGCCTTGCAGGCCTGGTGGATGCCATGGACGAGTCCATCAGCGATCAGCGACTTCTTCAGCACTTCTTGTAGCGCGGTGTTTATGTCCATGGCGCCGCCAAGAACGGGCGCTGCGGAGGGCACATCTCTGCCGGGGGAAAAAGGCTTGTTAGTCGAAGTTACAAATTATTGTCACAGAATGACGTATTGAATAATACTTTAGCACTATTAACTCAGTAATTGGAAGGTTTGAAATCAATATAAATTCATAAACACGGACCAATTAATTTCATCAATGTACACTTGTTTAGTTAAAAGTCAAAGCATTTTGCACTTACACATCAACGTCGGCCATATCTGAAAGGTTGAGGCTGCACTGCACTGTAAATGATTAAAATAAAACTATTATCAGAAATGATGTCGCACATAATTGTAAATTAAATTCGTCGAGGCGGCTTCAGCACAAAATTAATATGCTATCGTACCTTTTTGACAACCGGAAAGAAAGAGAGCCAAGCTATGTTGCGGCCAACTTCATGTTTTTAAATCAGTGATGCTTCGAAACTTCGATATCAGCTGTACACACCAATGCCATACAAAAGCTTGTTGCTCTATAATTCTTTATATATTCAGTTTTAATTATTGTGACAAGCAATTCGATTATTACATTAAACTATTCCTCTTTTAAATGTTATTTTTCACTAAAAATGTTTAAAAAGGTACTTAAGAATTGTTAAATATGTAATTTCAATAGCTTATGACCAGTGGAAACGATGTAACTAAGAACTATCGTAGACCATATGATTAAGTATTTTTTAGCACATTTTTAGCGGCTGTTCTCTGTGTCATTTTGCGCCCAAAATCTTTGGAGCCAAGCAGCTCCCGCAATTCGTCAAATACGCTAAAAATAGCCCGTAATAAGTCTAATTAAACTAAGTTATAGTTCATAGAGTGATACAAAGTCAATTTTAAGCTACAGCTTCTCAGTGCAATAACGTGTTTATGTTTACATAAGCAATCGGCAACATCCAAGACAACAACAACACCATCAAAAATGACAAGCAAGCTACAGTAAGTTGTGTGAAACAGTCCCGACTGCCCTTAGCCAACACCTTATAGTTTATTAATGTCTACAAATGGCACCACGTGCTCGTATTGGTTCGTGCGTCTAATTGCCGAAATTTACAGCAACATGTGAAAATCGTGTGCCTGTGCTTGCTGCTCTGACCGACGCTATTGTGTATTTGTGTATTTGTGTGTTGTTCCGTTATCTACGCTGAATTGTGGGTCTCCACTTTGGATATAATTGGCGGGGGTCGTTCTATGAATGAGCTCCCAAAATTGTTGCTATAAAAATGCGATGCGCTGATAAGAAACATTCTTGTTGACAAATACAACAAAACGCACGGTAAACAACAGTGGCCACCAAAAAATTTAGTAGAGCTCAAGACGATATCGATACTTTGTATTCATACATGGAATATCAAATTCCGGCTGTACTTTAGGGGTTTAATAAATTGGTATTTTTATAAATAAGAAATGAATTGTTTTCGGTATATATTATACAAAAATATATGTAAAATTTTTAAAGTCTAATTTTATTGGGTATTTATTCAACATCTCTAGCAGTATGCACACCATTTTAGCCAGCACTGTAGCGCCTTTTTGGGGGCTATCGCTGAGGTTCATCGACAACTAATACTGATTAGAATTTGACGCGGCACTCGTTGATGTTGGATTTCGGTTTCAATTGCTAATTAGGCGGCAAGCCCTCGACTGGAAAGCATGTGCGACATTAAGAGCAACTCAAGCAACGTGAGGTTGCGTATCGCTTAGCCGCTTAAGGGAACTTCTTCATTAACATGAGGCTAATCGCTTGTCGCTTCTCTTTTCATTTGCAGAGAAGGCATCCTAGTCGGATGCGGTAATCCGTTGCTGGATATATCGGCGACCGTGCCTATGCATTTCCTGGAAAGATATGGCATGAAAGAGGATGATGCCATACTGGCCGAAGAACGACATATGCCCATCTATCGTGAACTGGCCGAGGACTATCAGGCAGAATATCTGGCCGGTGGCTCGGTCCAAAATTCATTGCGTATAGCCCAATGGATAATTGGACAGCCCAATGTCGCCGTCTTCTTTGGCTGTGTGGGCAAGGATAAGTTTGCGGACATATTGAGGGAGAAGGCACGCGCCGCCGGTGTTGATGCGCATTATCAGGTGAGCGAAGACACGCCCACGGGCACCTGTGCTGTGCTCATCACGGGCACGCATCGCTCTCTCTGCGCTAACCTGGCGGCAGCCAACAAATTCACCATCGACCATCTGGAGGTACCGGAAAACAGGCATCGTATAGAGAATGCTTTATACTATTATATTTCGGTAAGTGTAGAACACACAAGAATTGCGGATGTTGTTGCATTCCTGCTGGCATAAAGGGGTTTTAAACTATTTTGTGATCTTTGCATGCAGGGCTTCTTTTTGACCGTTAATCCACCCAGCATAATGCGTGTGGCCGCCACCGCCCATGCCAAGCAGCGACCGTTCCTAATGAACCTCAGCGCACCATTCATATCGCAATATTTCATGACACCGCTGCTGGAAGTTATGCCCTATGTTGATATCATTTTTGGCAACGAGGCGGAGGCGCACGCCTTTGCCACTGCGCAAGGTTGGCCCGCCGACAATGACCTGCGTGAGATTGGCAGGCGCCTGGTCGCGCTAGATAAACTGAATTCGGAGCGACCACGCATTGCCATACTCACGCAGGGCTGTGACCCCGTGCTGCTCATACAGCACGATTCGGTCCAGGAGTTTCCAGTGACACGTTTGACGGTGGATGAAATTGTAGATACCAATGGCGCTGGGGATGCATTCGTTGGTGGTTTTCTGTCGCAGTTTGTGCAGGGCAAGTCTTTGGATGTGTGCATACGCTGTGGCAACTATGCGGCGGGTCATATTATCAAGAATCCGGGCTGCACGTATTCCGGTTCGCCGGAGTTTGTTGAATAATCATCCAGAGCAAATATCCACCCATACACACACATACACACAAACTACACACACAACACAATGAACCGACAAACCTGTAAGAGGCATAAGCATTGCGCAAATAGTTTTGCAACTACTGCAAATAAGTTCGAAAAGTGACTAAGACAATTTTGTTAACACTAATAATTATTTGTACATATAATCTACACTCACACACACACACACACACATATATATACACACACAGTTGGCAACGAAGATGTGTGTTATGCACGGCCTTGTGGTTTATATACAATGTTAGAGCAATATTCGAATTTAAATTGATAATAAAATACAAAACCCACAAAAACAATCACATTTTTAAAAAGCGCTATTATTGTTGACTCTTATGTGACCTAGAAATGCCCCTTCGAAAACTAATTGATAGCAATTGTGTATGACTTATTCATTTAGCCAAGTGTTGAGATCCGGCTGCAATAAAAGTTTAGGAATTTGCTTCCGCTAACTTTCTTCCAAACACATTTGTGCGTTTTATGATTCGGGCTACTTTATATTTGAGTCAGCTATCTGATTAGTTAGGAAATATTACAGCAATGACCCTTGAGGTGCTTTGATTACACGCAGGCGTCATTCTTTTATTTTTACTGTAATATAGCACATCGTATCTGAGGTTGATTTATGTCTCTTAAGCAATCTTTGCAATCTGTGTTGATAAGCTTGTGTCATATCTGTGATGCATTGAAACAATGAATGATTAACCATATCATAATAGCAGGGATTATAAGGCTACGAAATGCCAGCTACAAAGTAAATTTCATTTACAAATATTACTTTAAAGCTGTCGGTTGACTTATTTTTAGCTGACAAAGGAGCAGAGAAATGATTCACAAACTGCATTTACTTATAGAGACGCTTCTGAATTTATTTCGTTGTTGAGAAATACTAATAATATAACATTTAAAAATCGTATATTACCTAGCTGAAAACAATACGAATAGTGTAGATAATAACAGAAAATGTTCTTCACTATTTCTATTGTTCTTGTGTGCACAAACTTGAGTTTTGTATGGTTCGTCCTTAGAAAAGTATAGGAGACTGAGGGAAAACTATGGCTACATTTGTTGTTTGCTTACATTTGCATTTGTGTGGCTGACATACTTGATCCCCATATGGCTGCTATTCAATCAGATAGCCTTTGATGAAGGGCAGGCCCGTTGGCACTTGCTTCTGATAGCGCGCATAGTCCGATTGAAAGAAATACAGCAGCGAGTATTCCTCAACGTAAATGCGATCGTGAAAGAATAGCCAGCTGACTAGAGCATAAATGCAAATACACAGCGGATTCATCAGTATGACTTGGGTGCCAATGGACCAATAGAACCAGCCCACATACGACGGATGGCGACTGTAGGCGTACAGTCCATGGGTTATTAGCTTGTGGTCTGTGTGCTTTTCATCCTGCACCTGTTGTAATTAATAGTCATGTACAAATATACTGCGACCAATTAAGATAATATATATTTACTAAATGCGTAAAGCTGCGACCTGCCGTAATGATGGCCACCTTTCGCACAATTTCGCCAAAGGTGCATAACGTCACGCCTAGCAGCCACAAGTAGGACCAACGCTTGAATTCGGGCAAAAAATATAGCTCTAGGACAAACTCCATCCAACTGGCTGCTGCCGCCAGGCCATAGTGCACCGAATGATTCAGCATGAAGGAGTCCAGTGAGAGTGTGCGTGGATTTGCAAACGCAATAACCAGAAACTCAGAGTAATGAAAAAAGGACATGAAGCAGCCATATACGCCGAACTGCTGCCAAGGTGTGGGCGCAAAACAAATGACTAGAACGCTCGCCGCCATGGTAAAGCCCAAAAAAGAGGCGCGTATGGCAACCTTATAGATAACAATAACAAAGTTAGAGATACTGGGGCACTTATAGAATGAGTCATCCCATACCTGATATTCCATGTTTCTGAGCACAAAACGTATTATCATGTTGATGAGGGCGTAGTACAACATCGGTCCCCACAGGATGGCGCCCCAGACATTTGGCACAATCCCATAGTATATCTGAGGAACTGAGGGCACAAGCACGAGACCCGCCGTGGCCAGAAAGCAATACAAACTGATCCGGCCCTCGGAGCAGAGTTTGGCGTGGGAGCCTGCCGATGCTGAGGGCCGTGAATTATTTGCGCACATTATAACTAAATCACAAGGTTTTTTATGTTGTACTTGGCATAAAACACATTAAAATTTGGATTTTGTATAGCATTTGCAGAAATGTAAATAAATAGCTCAACACCGGCAGCGGCTGTGTATGTCAATAGCAATTGTTTCTTAATTTATAAGGTTACAGTTCAAAGTGCACTGTTCTGTGCAGCTACGTCAGAAAATGTTCAACATTATAAAACCAGAGCCGCCATATATTCAATGGACGGTAAATGGGTAATATGTTGCTTGCAGTTTATTATTTGTTATTATCATTTACGTTAGCCGCCCTATAGTCGCAGAATTTTGTGTAAACAGGAAAACTAGTCACCTTCGACATAAATTGTTGTCAGTCATTTGCAAGTGTGGCGTTACCTTCTCAGATTTATGAATCTCCTCGCTATTCCAAAGTAATCGATAGTTGGTCGAACGATGTATAATTTACCGATAGTCAGCTGCGCGTGCACAGCATGAACTTCGATAGGTTGGTCTGTGAGGGTTATGTAAATTAACAAATTGTTAATTAAATCCTTAACAATTGCTATACATATTGACAAAAAGAGTTTGCTATGGTGTTTATAAGTATCCCCCTGATGGTGCGCGCCCGCGGCCCGGACGAGTTCTGGCGCAAAAGGCGTATTTTCAAACTCGCTGCGGTATGTACCAAGAACAGAAATTCATGAAATTATTTTGACCGGTTAATTAATTCTTTCAGCATTATCGCAGCCGTACGCGCAATGTTTATTCTTTTGCCATACGCAGCGTTCATCGTGCACTCGCATACGCCACCAAGGGCCGCAAGCTCAAGAAACTGGACATGGCTCAGCTGTGGACAACCCGCGTTGAAGCCGGCTGCCAGCAGTATGGAGTCGCCTTGGACACATTCAAGGAGGGCCTTGCACGTTCGGATATTTTGCTGAACAAGTTAGTTGGCGGCATGTACACTTATTGACTGTATATTAACAGATTTACTTTATAGAAAAATGCTCTCAGATTTGGCTATTTGGGAGCCGCGCTCGTTTGAGGCTTTGGTAAACATTTCTAGAGAACGGGCTGCTGTGGAGGGTCTGCCGGACATTAAGATTAGATCGGCCTTCAATCAGGTGTATGGACTGAGTAATCTAAAGCTAGATTAGGCTAAGTGTTTAAATATAGTTTTATATATCAACTGAAGATTCATGTTTTATTTTTGGGTAATGCAATCAAAAACATTGCACTAAACTTTTATTGTAGAGGGTTACGCACTAATAGAAAACAGAATTCATAGAATTATTGGTAGCCATTTATTCTAACTTGGCCAAGATATCCGACTCGCGGAAAAGGAACAGCTCTTTCTTTTCATCACTATCCAATTGGACCTTGGTACCGCCAAATTCAGGCAGCAGAACGCGATCGCCCTCCTTCACACCAATTGGAATATGACTGCCAGTTGTCTAAAACAATAAATAGATCCGATCAGTATTATGTGACAAGCTCAAGAATATGTTGTAATTGTCGCGCGCAATTATAAAATACTTACAGCATTGCGTGTTCCGGGGCCCACCGCCACAACAGTGCCTTCCAGCACTTTGCCCACCGATTTTTCTGGCAAGACAATGCCACCTTTCGTTTTGGTAAGGGCTTCAGCGCGTTGCACCAAAATGCGGTCAAGCATGGGGATGATCTTCTTAATAGCGGCAGCCTATATACAATTGCAAATCATTCGATTTTAATAAGCAATTTACTGTAATTGATTTCACACATTATTTCCCCCCGCCTATGTGCTGGGGCAGAGTTACACAACAGCCCGGCACGGCGAGTTATCAGCGTATGCAGAAACTTCGAGAAGCTCAAGTGAAATTCTTTGAACGCCACATGCGATTTTAGTATTTTTAAATAATTTAACACTGTACTTACCATTTTTATGTAATTAAATGCAAACTGGAGCGCTTCGAACAGCTAAATCTTAATTAATAAATGAAAGTGAAGTCTCACTACACGTGCGGGCCGGTCGCAGTTGTTCGTAATAGTGATGCACAACCACCGCACAATTGGTATCGATGCTATTCTCTATGTACGATGTATCGTACTATCGGGAAAAGCATTTACTCGACGTTTTGAAAGAAACCCGTTGACATTTAGACACATAGGAGGAATGCAATAAACTTTTACGAGTTGAATAGGATTTATACACTGGTCACAAAGTAAGATAAGCATATTGGCACTGTTCATACGCATGAACGTTATTCGTAGATGAAGCTTGGATTCCGAATTTATTGTCGCCCTAATCACAGAAAAATAAATAAATAAATTCGACTTTGGACCAGTTGTCCATTATTTTTATTTTTATTTATAAAAATATGAATGTCCACATACAATTGTAGTGGATGTCATATCTATGTGTTGTATGGTTAGTGAACTAAAGCTTTAAAGCAACTGTTTTGGGTTACAGTCGAAAAGCTATTAAAACAATAATTGAAGAAATCTACATTGAGAGCAGAGTATTACGAAGTCGAATGCACCAGAATGCAACGATACAACAAAGAAATGGAGTACAATGTTTAAGATTGTAAGGGAATTGAAATTGCAAAAAGGAGACGTAAGGAATGTGTTCAGCATGTGCGTGTTGAATTCATTTCAACATTAATATTAAGGAATTGTAGTTAGTCAATCGATGTTGATATTTTGTAGTATGGATCTATGCAGTCGAAGCCAGATTTGCTACCAGGTCTCATGTTCAGTGCCACCTCGTCCGATTTCTTTTGCTTGTTAAACTCGCAGCTGAAGTTGTCCGACATTTGTTGCAAGTCGCTACAAATATTTCCGTAGATAAGCGTATCGTGTAACTTATGTTGTAATATGGCAAGTTTTCCCAGGTACTGGATCTGACCTCTGGATAAAGGGCGTGCGGTGAAGTTACGCAGCGATTCGCTGGCCTGCAGTAATAGTAAGATATCATTTCAGAGCTATACACAGAATATGGTCTTTCTTACACTAGTTATCTCGTGGCAGGTTAGCTCGGACAGCGGTAGCTCGAAAATTAGCGCAATGGCGTCCTGCAACGTGCAATTACAACGATCCTGTCGAGCCACACACATCGCGACGAACGTATCGCAAATTCCATTTATTCTTAGCTTGTGCTGATGGAACAGCAAATCACATATTCGATGGCTGTAGTGCATTATCTTTCTAGGATACTCCGCCTCCAGCAGCACAGATAGTTCCCGGAAAATGACACCCAGTGCTTTCAGATCAAACACATAAGTATTATTCGCGGTGGCAATAACCATGACGGATGTTATGCAATGCCGCCCATAAAAGCTTGGCTCCACCAGCACCGAGATGATGGCTTGGTCGCGTATGTCGCTCAACGCCCTATGGTATGACTGATCCGTTTGTTGAATAACCACAATGCGCTTCAGTTTCTGCTGCAGGGACAACAGTTCGTGTGGCAGAAGGGGCGCACTTTTTATAGATTTTCTTTCCCAAGCAGCAGCTGTAGCAAAAGACTCTACGCTGTCATTGTCGCTGTTGTCAATGTCCTCAAAATTGCTATTGTCATCGCTCATTTTCTTATTCTTTTTTTTTTTTTATTGCGTTTTAAGTAAAGCTGCATAAATAAAACAAAGATTTATTTACAATACGAGCAGCAGAGAGATGACACACTTCAAAAATCCTTACATGGTGGCAACACGTCAATAATAATCACCAGCTCAATTGTAAACAAACACTAATGTAATTTTGTAATAATCTGCTCAGCGTTGCCAGAAATCCCGGTGTAAGGAACAAAATTCTTGTTCTGCTTATCTCCAAATATATTGTAGGAAAACACGTTTTTCTTTTAAACACAATACGCCAGACAACATTAAGGTAAATGCGTGTATCTAGTACAGTAATTGGTGTTTAATTTACACTTAACTCTGTTATAATTGCTGCGCGAATAACCTGAGCACTTTTTCAGCTAGCGGGTGATCGCTTTGCGAATCAAAATGCAAAGGAAAATAACTGAACCATAGTCAATACAAAACACTGGCAACCTGCGCACATTTATAGTGTTTGTGAAATTAGCGGTAAAACACACAAACAAAAAGTTAAAAACATATGAGAAGGTAAACGGGAAATTGGCGAATATAGAATTAGTGATGAGAAAACAAACTTATGTTAAGTTCACAGTGAGAACGATTTTCGATAAGCATACACCATTTACATGTGTTCATATACATATATGTATGTACATGTGTCGTATAGGTAAAAACTTGTGTATTGTTGCATGTATGTACATATGTATGTCATTCTTATGTAGATGTTCATATATACATATATGATCGAATTATCGCATGTGCCTTCATGTACATACGAGTACATATTTATCTCATTTTGATGTACATATGTATATGTATAACATAGCATTATCGCATGTGCATTCATGTACATACATACACATGTGCAGCTCAAGTTTCCAATAGCCAATTTGTTAAATGGCCTATCGATGCTAAGGCAAGGAAACTTTCTCAATCAGGTCAATGGCTTCGGGCATTGCAATACGGCCAATTGACGATCTCGTCGAGGACTCAGATAGATTTTGCAATATGATTTAATTTTCGAATTTACTAATTGCAATTGACTTTCGACTACATCGACCAGCAAAGCGACAGCCAGCCTTGCCATCGCCCAAATTGGTCCATCAAGCTATCATCTGGGATGATACTTAGCAGTTTAATGCCATGGCAGCCAGACGGCAATCGGAGGACAGCCACACGACAGCTGTTGCCAGTGTTGCTAGGTTTCTGATGCGGATTTAATTCGGCTGCCCGTTAGGCCTTAACCATGGCCAATTGTGAAATTGTCAAATGATCTGTAGATGTTATTTTCTTTAATCTTATTTTAGACACTGAAAAGATTTTTAAGACAAGACATTCGGCTTGTTGTAACCTTTTTATGGGCATTTCTAGCAAAACGACCATGGTCAAAGAAAACATTTTTTTCAAATAATATTTAAGAGGCCGACCTTAATTGTTACCTAATTAAAATTTGGTTGTAAAATAGATAACAGTTTCCTTTTTTTCAATTTAATAGTCAAAGAGGGTGTTATAATCTGGTCATTAAATGTGTAACGCTTAGAAAAAGACATCTCTGACTCCACAAATATATTCTAGGTCCACAGATATATCCTTGGTCAGCATTAACAGCCAAGTTTATATACATAGCCATGTCCGCGTTTCAGTCTGTCTACAGTAGGTTTACAGTCTATCTACAGTCTGTCTACAGTCTATCTACAGTCTGTCTACAGTCTGCCTACAGTCTGTCTACAGTCTGCCTACAGTCTGTCTACAGTCTGCCTACAGTCTGCCTACAGTCTGTCTACAGTCTGCCTACAGTTTTGAAACTGCATAGGTTCGTCTTTCTGTTGGTCATATGCATGTCTGAACCAGCCGGATCCGGTCAAAAGCAGGTTCTTATATGGTAAAATATTCTGTTTTCCTAGATATTTCAATCAAACTCAGCATATGCGAGCTTTACTATTCTTGGATAACTGCAAGCCTACAAGGATATTAAATCTTTGCAGGCATAATTTTTTTAGGATTTTTAAAATGTACAGAAGACAAATTTAAAGCAAGTAATTGAGGACTAGGACATAAACAGTGTCCAGTTCGGAATTGACATACTATATAATCATGTTTATGTGTTAAAAAATAAAGTTAATATGTACTTACTCAAAAATATAAATCCACATACAATTAAATAGCAGAAAGTTGAATTTTTACATATGCACACACCTGAAAAAAGTAGAATAATGCAGTTCGTTAGATAAATTCATACACATACAGGTAATTTAACATATAAATGGGAGTGGATTTTAAAAAAGGTTATTGCGTAGGTATTCGTAGGTATTCATACAAATGAAAAGTAATTATCGGGATGTGGACCTTACAAAATGGGAATTCATAGTTTTATGATTTACAGTATAATATGCTAGTTTTAAAGACTCTTGCTTTATTATATTTAGCCCCAAGGCAAGTAATTTATATTATCATGTCTAATGATGTTATATTGCAATCTTTTTGAATTTCTACTTTGTTCTTTCACGTGCCTGAAGTCCAACTCTGCGAGCCATACCTGAAATCCACACTGATTAAGAGACTTACAAACGCTAAGCGGCTGCGTAGCGAAAAGGTTAATTGCATTGTAAGCGGCTTGATGAAAAAATGTGGAGTTAACCACGCGGCGGCAGACAACGTTGGCGCTGACTCAACTTAATTGGCGCACGAGGCGCATACTTAATGCGCTTAGATGCGGGCCAGGCTCATCGCATCGCCTCATTGGCATTACAGAAGCCGCTTTTGTGCTTCTAATTAGATCCAACGGATACCATTGAGTGCTGCAGTTTGTTCGTTACGCTCGGCCTCGAAAATTGAGCCCTTCAATAGACGAATTTCATTAAATGCGTTTGTTAAGTAAATTAGGTGTGAAAATAAGTGGAGTTTATTGTCGGTTTGTATGCGTGTGCAATGACTATGAAATGATTTTAATTGAAATTGCAATGCTGAAATGGAAGTGGAAATCTATCTGGCAATTTATTTTAGGAGTTTTCATATCAACTTCAATTCACTGAACTGATTAGTTCAAAATGGGGCTTGCTTTAAGTTTCGCTTTTTTCATCTTCTTAAATTCTATTTAATGCCAATCTTTATGCATATATTAGGGGATGTGACAGAAATTTCCCATGGGTAAATGCAAAACGCAAACTGTCTGGCAATTCTAGAAATAAATGAACTAATTAAATATTCTGATTGTGCGACAAGCTACGTATTTGATTATTGCAAATTTAATGCATAACATCGCCCAGGCCTTAGCTAGGGTCAAATTAGGGCAAGCTCTTTGGCACTGATTCGATGTCACAAGTTAAATCAACAAAAACATGCGACAACAGCAACCATCAGAGCAAAAGCAACATCAGCAACAACAGCAACAACAACAACAAAAACTGTGATGATGATAAACACGCGATGACAACAAAAATATATAAAACAAATATGCTTTGAACGGGCGCATCCAACCATGAGATACCCTGTAGCGTTGGCATACGATTCTGACGATTGCTGGATTAATTATGTGCAAGAAAGAAGAAAAAAGAAGTTGAATAGAATATATTGCCTTGTAACCCTGGCATTGGTCTTTGAGTTTAACCTTGCCACTGGAACTTATTCTAAATATATATACTTATATATATATACTTAAATAATCCACTCAAAGGTGCTCACTTCTACTTGTTGTTAGCCAGCACACACTGACTTTATTCCACTCCGTTTAACTAATTTTATGGGTACAGGGTGTACTAGAATAAATGAACGACTGATTGTGTTGGTGGTTTAATACTTGTGCATGTGAAACATGAAAATGGCTTTGCATGTTATGTGTGCCGAGAGCAACAACAACAACAACAACAACAACAAGAGCAAAAAGCACGTTACACTAATTACTCTAATTGTGCACGGGAGGTGTGGAAACACTTGGAGCAACGATGACGACAAAACTCCAATTTGGACTTTGACTTTTGTCTGCCAAAGTTTTCTAACAATGTCCGAGATGGTCACGTGACAGCATCCGCTATATAAAGACAATTCGTATTAGATAAAATATTCAACATTTCAGACCAAATACAGTTGATTCGCAATTAATTTTGAATAGCATTTATCACTTAAATAAACTAATTATGTTTTACAGCGCTTGTTGGTTTGCTTGACTCGACTGTGCTTGGCCAATATTAAATGGATGTGTGAAACGAGCCGCTGCATCACGAACTAGCCAAATCACGTGCTCAGCTCTGTTCGTAAAACTTGTTGGGGGCTAGTGTTACTACCGTTAACGTCATCGGGTTAGAAGGCCGCAGCACGTTGGCATCGCGTGCTCGACATGTGCCGACTGTTATTACGTATACGCCAGCGCGGCCAACTGTGTAGAAATAAAACATTAAATTACGTAGGTCGCCAGTTGGCCATTGTTTCTGTGTCTCCGACTCTGTGTGTGCGAGTGCGAGTGTGTCTGTGTCTGTGGGACTGACTGCGATTCCAACAGCGACTGGGCAGGTGTGGCGCACACGTAGACCGCGCACGTAGCTGAAATTTTAAGCAATCAGCCAGGTAGAGCGGGGACAGACAGATAGTCAGACGACAGGAAGACAGCCGGACAGACGTTGGGTTTTTGGTGGGTTGGACCGCCTGCGGTTTCGTTTTGAAGTGGCCTTTAATAGTTTGCTGTCTGCAACTGCAGCAGTAGCAGTGTGTGGCATATAGAATGCTGCATGCATGGGATGCCGCATGTTGAGTTGTGCGATTGTGGCGTGTGTTGGGCTAGCCAAAGAGCACCAGTTTAATGAAATAGCAAAGAAAATTGTGGCTGTTGCCACGGCTACATAAATGGCATTGCTGCAACACGAACTAAAATTGTAATTATGCAGCAATCGCACTGACTGCCAACCGAGAGCCGCATTTCAAATGGCCACAAGCCGATTTATAATTGCCGCGCCGCGTATACCCAAAGTCGAGAGCCCACTTTCTATAAATAATGGAATGTTTCAAACTTATTATATCATGCTCCAATACCAGGCATATTTATGACTCTAGCCAAGTTTTTTTTTACTCCAAATTTATATGCACGGGCCACACACTCATATGCATTCAACTATTTGCAAACGTATAACAAATTATGTACTTATCTGTTGTAATGCTAAAAAATTATATTTTATAAAAGCATTAACAAAAATTGCATTCGTATTTGGCATTATGTGTTTTGATGGAATTAAAATTTGATTTTCCGAGAATTTATTGCATGAAAACTCATCGGTAATATTATTGAATTTTATTTTTTTCGTAACAGGCAGCATGATCTCTCCCTCATTATTTTATGAAATCTGAAATATGTGAGCTTTGATGAACGAAATAAAAACAAAACTCTGAATTTTAGCAAACTATGGAAAACCCTAATATGCCTGGTTGTTCAAATTTCTCGATATTCTTTTAAATAATCTGGTTACTGAAACTGTAAAAATCTCGACTTGCTTGCAATTTTTATTTCTGCCTGCTGGATACAATTGCACAATTGCTTTATTAGAG